ATTGGTGAAATAGACAAACTCCTAGAAAGAAACTACTACCAAAACTGACTCAAGCAAAAGAAAATCTGAATAAGTTTATAAAAAGAGATGGAATTGTGAATGAAAAAAAAAACTATATGGAAAGAAAATCTTAGACCTAGATGGCTTCACTGATGAATCTACCAAATATTTAAGAATAAATTAATTCTTCACAAACTTCCAAATTTTACTCTTTCTATGAGGCCAGTAATACCCTGATAGCTTAAACCACAGATATCACAAGGAAAGAAAACTACACACTAATAATCAATTGTCTATGAATATAGATGTAAAAGTCTTCAAAAAATGCTAGCAAAACTGAATCTAGCAATATGTATAAAAGGATTATACTCCTTGATCAAGTGGGGTTTATCTCAGGATGTTAGGTTGGCTTAGTATTCCTACTTAATGTCATACACTACAGCAGTAGGATACAGGGAAAAATTACAGGATCAACTTATTAGGCACAGAAAAGATATTTGACAAAATTCTACAGTCCTTCATTTAAAAATAACAAAAACACCAAACAATGAATTAAAGAACTCCCTCAACCTGATAAATAAAGGGCATTTCCAAAGAACCCATGGCTAACATCCTACTTAATGGTGAGAGACTGAAAGCTTTACCCTAACATCAGAAAACAGACAAGATGTCCACTCTTGCCACTTCTATTCAACATTGTACTGGAAGCTCTAGCCAGGGAAATTAGGGAAGAAAATGAAATAAAAGGTAATCCAGCTTGGAAAGGAAGAAAAAAACTATATTTGCAGATGACATCACCTTGTACATTGAAAATCCTAAGTAATCCATACACCAAAAAACCTATTAGAATAAGTGAGTTCAGCAAGGTTAGAAGATATAAGATTCATATATAAAAATCAATTGTTCATTAGCAATGAACAAACCAAAAACAAAATTAAGAAATACTTAGGAATAAATTTAATAAAAGAAAGCAAAACTTGCACCCTGAAAAGTATAAAACATTGAAAAGATGTAAATAAATGGGAAGACATTTCATGTTCATGAATTGAAACATTTAATACTGTTAAGATGGTTATACTCTGGATTTTCAGACTCAACGCAATACCTATCAGAAACCCAGCTGGCCTTTTTGTTGCAGAAATTGACAAGCTGATCTTAAAATTCCTGTGGAAATTTAAGGTCCGCCCCTACTCCCCCCCCCCCCCCCCAGCAAATAATCTTGAAAAAATAAAGTTAGAGGACTTAAATTTCTTGGTTTCAACATGTATTAAAAAGCTGCAGTGTTATAAGACAATGGTGATATTGGCATAGGAATGGCGCATGGATCAATGGAATTGAATTGAGAGCCCAGAAGTAAACCCTTGTTTTTATGGTCATTTGATTTGTGACATAGGTGCCAAGACACCTCAATAGGGGAAAGAATAGTGTCTTCAACAAATGGTGCTGGACAACTGAATATCCACAAGCAAAGGAATGAAGTTGGACCCCTACCTCACACCATATACAACAATTAACTCATAAAGAACTCTTAGCATGCAACAATGAAAAGACAGAACACAGTTAAAAATGGGTAAAGGTTTTCACTTCTCCGAAGAAGAGTGACTTCTAATGGGTATGGAGTTTCTTTTTGGGGTAATAAAAGTGTTCCAAAATTAAAGCGTGGTGATGGCTGTACAACAATGAATAGTCTAAAAACCTCTAAATTCCATTTGAATGAGTGGATTTTAATGGTATATGACATATCAAAAAACATAAATGAAACGTGTCATTTTTGTGGGACCTGAATTACTTGGTTAATATGTTGAGATTAATTCATGTAGATGTATGCAGTGATAATAGCTATAGTTTATTTTCACTTTAGTATGGTATTTCATTGTATGAATATTCCAAAATATATTTATCCATTCTTTGCAAGTGTCTTGTTTATAGTTTTCTTCCTCCTCTCTTGCCCCCTTACAGACCATTCTGCTCTGAACATTCTGGTAGGTGCCAGAGTATGAGGGCTTCTCTGGGGTATAAACCTGAGGGTTGGACTTACTGGGTGGTAGGGCACATACACGTTATGTTGCATTGCTTCACCCCATCCAAAGTGCCCACTTACCCACCAGCAGCAGTTCATGAGATTTTTTTTTCATTGTTCCACACTTTGCTTGTTTTTGTGACTTTTCAGTTTGGGTAATCTGATGGGTATAATAGTATTTAATTATGGTTTCAATTTATATACCCCTTATTAATAAAAGGTGCTTTTTTTTTTTTTTTTTTTGCTATTTCAGGTTCTCCTTATGATTTTAAGCCTCTAGAGGATTTTGCCCTTTTACAATTGACTCATAATTCTTTACATTCTCAGAATAATTATCTTTTACCAGTTATATGTGTTACATGTGTTCTCTGTTTTCTTCTAATCTTTCCTTTTTAAACTTTGTATTTTGAAGTGTCTCTGACATATACCAAAATGCGAGGAACAATTGAATGGACTTGATTCGAATAGTCCACCTTTATGCACAACCTGGGTTATTTTGAAGCAAAGTCCAGACATCATATCATTTCATCTGTAGATATTTCTGTGTATATTTCAAATTGATAAGCATTCTTTTAAAATATAGATTTACAAGTTTTTAAAGTAATGGGTTGATTTCCTTGTGTCCTCCAAAGATTACCATACAGACTATTTTTTTTAACCTGTATTAAAACCGTGGATTTAATTATATTTGATCCCTTGCATTTATTACCATCAATGATGTTCCAGTTACTCCATCACTGGCTAATGGGAGCTTTATTCAGATGGTTACCTGTGTCTTTTCAGCATAATCCTGATAGTCTTTGGCAGCCTCCTTCTATTGTGGTGTGAAAAGATATCCCAGGTTCATTTTACATTTGCTGCTCCAGACCTGAAACTGGACATTGCTCCAAAGATTCCTGTGTTGGGAAATTGAATCTAGAGTCCATTACCTGGATGCAAGGATTCTCTTTGCTGCTGGATTGGTTGGTTTCTAGGTCCTTTCAGGAGACAGATAAAGAGGGTTTTTTTTTTTCCTGTAAAGATAAAATATGTCAGACAATTATACTTCCAGTTCAGATTAAGCTATTCGGTTTTAATTTAACCTTAATTTTATATCAGCATCTCCTTTCAACTTTGCCAGAAATCTCAGATTTCAGTGACATAATGACTCATTTGACTCACCACAGAATACACAGAGCATGACCTCAGTGTAGCAGTGCCACCAACAAGAGAAATTTGTTTACAGTTTTTGTCCTGCCTGAGATACCCACGCCCAACCCCAGGAGGTAGAGTCAAATTACTGTAGTTTCATGTTGCATAGAATAGATCTTGGGTGATTACATCACCACTGGAAACAAAGTTGGGTTTATTGATTTCTATATTATCAGTGTTTTTAAGTTGCTTAAATTTTTTATTCGGTCTTCTATATCATGTAAAATCTTTACATGGTTGCAAAGTGAAATTGGCAAAATAGATATTTATATAGCTTTCTCTTCCCCAAGATTATAGTTGGTCTCTTCTCCCAGTAATCTGCAGAAGGTGGGAAGCTAGGCGTGGCCTGTAGCCTTGGCAGGTAGTCTTGGGGCTTCAAATGATACTCATGGTCTTCTTCTGCTTATAAGCACTGGGACTTACCCTCTAGGGTTTTTCTGGGAAGGTTCTCCAAATGGGAGGTAGCTGGGCCATCTCAAGATGGGAACTTTGTCAAGCCCCCAAGCCCACCGTTAGTTCAACAATTCCTGTAGCATACAATGTTCTTCCAGTGATTCCACTGAGTATTTTAATCTGTATTAACTGAGGAACTGTTACCAGAAAACCTGCCAAGAGCCTGGATGTGTAATGTTGGAAGCGATTGGCCAGTCAGGTCATGTCTCCACTGCCTTCTTCATCAGAGATGCATAGTGATTCATCTCATACTGCTTCATTTTTGTCCAGACCAGAGCTTTACACAATTCAGAACCCTTAAGAATCTGAGGGCAATGTATGACAATGAGATTTAAATTTAATCTGGATCCAGGTGGCCTCCTTTATGTTGTAGTTTGACTATGAATGTGTCAAAGTGGCCCAAAATTAAATCCCTGAATATCCTTGTCAAAATAGGAACAGAAAAAAAGTCAGACCCATGTATTAACATAAAATAGATGAAAATGAATTTAGTTTGTCCACAGTGTGCTTACAGGCAAGACAGGGAGAGCCCTTCCCAGGAAACATGAAGTGGAGGCGTACTTCTTATAGGGTTGTCATTTATCAATAACGAAGGCATTTTCTGGGAAGTTCCCTGAGATGGACATCGTTTGCATTCTGGGCACTTCCTATCAATACTGGGGCTCAGTCCTCTGGTAGAATAAAAGGAATCATAGCCATGAGGTTATTTCACTGAAACCATGGGAAAAGCAAACATACCGGTTGAGTTCCTGTGGCCCTCAGTCCTGCCCCTTCCAGGGAAGAAATTGAGAGTAAGGGAGGAAAGTAAATACTTAAAAATATTAGCAACAAATGGCTTTGTTTGTTTATAGAGTTCTTGGCAATCTTCAAGGATTAGATAATTTCCATGTTTCATAAACAATTACAGACCATAACAGAAAAATGACTCACAGTCTAGTTTTTAAATCCAGTCTAACTTGATACCTGTCCAATTTCTGTTACCTTGAATTGCTGGCTCTGTGCCCCCTGCCAAATGTCAGTAGTTTCAGTCTCTCTCTCTCTCTCTCTCTCTCTCTCTCTCTCTCTCTCTCTCTCTCACACACACACACACACACACACACACACACAATCAGGACACATGGCCCTCCTGTGATGTAGAGACCACCTCAGGCCTTCCATCAGCACTGTGGCTCACAGCAGGGGAGGAATAGGACTGGCATTGAGGCAAGAAGATATCAGCCCAAAGCTGCTCTTTACTGTTTATTGAGAGGGGAAAGGGGCTCAAGGGGGTTGGTGGAGGTCCCCAGCCTGAAGGTGGCAGCATCTTGTCCCCAGGCAAGGATTCTCCAGCTGCTGCTCAGCCAAAGAATGTCAGGGCTCCCTGGAAAGAAGAAGCCAAGTTTGAGTGTTTCCCTGAGAGTGGGTGAGGCCCTCTATAGCTGGGGACCACTGGGTGAGATGCAGCTTATTCTCTGGCCTGGTTTTGGGCAGGTCATGATGCCTACTTGAATGGGACAGGCATGGGTGGTGACCTTTGACAGGTGCATTCTTAGTTTATCCCCTCGGGCCCTCCATAGCCCCATGTTGTTCAGATATAGTTGGTCCACCCAGTTCCCACCTGAGGCCACCAAGCTTCTGGGGGCGGAAAATCAGGTGACCCTGTTGTGGGGTTTAGAGGAGTGGATGGAGTGTTTTGGAGGGGGGCAGTACACACAGGGAGGTGGCAGGTGCCCCATTTACCAGTAGTGCCTTCATGGCCCCCATGGACTCTGGGCCCAGCTCAGCCACACACTTCCTGGAGCCCTCCACCAGGTGATCCACAGGGATGCCCAGGCTGGCCAGCACGAACTTCACGGGATTGAAGCCCTTGAAAAAGGGGTAGGCCACAGTCCCGGCCCCGGCCCCATCCTCCATGGCAGGGGCAAGGGCAGCTTCAGTTGGGGCCACAGGCTTGGCCATCTTGTTCATGAAGAAGGCTGCAGCTGCAAACAGAAGGGTTGTCCATCTGTGCCCAGTCCCTGAGGAGAACTACTGAGGACTCATCTCCAGGAGATAATTGGGTCCTTGAAACCTGCCAGCACCCCGGACCACCTACTCCCTCACTTGATTGCAGAGAGCTGTGGTCCAGCAAGGTTATAGTAGATGACCTGAGGGTGGAGGGAGGAAAGGTGAGCTCTTTGTGGGGGCCTGGGTAGGCTTCCCAGAGGAGGGGACACCTGGCCTGTGCATTGGAGGCGGCGGCAGAGGGCAGGTATTTCCAAACCAGGCCAGCACTCAGCCAGCTTGTCTGGGAGATCCTGCAGTTGATGGATGAAGAAGAGAAACTAGGGCCGGCAAGGGGGTGAGAGGCCTGAGGGCTCAGGTGGGGGACCTCACAAGACTGGCTTGAAGAGCTGGGGGTCAGGCAGAGCCACTGCCTGAGCCCCATGGTGAGGGGTGGGAGGCCAAGGTCTGAGGCACACTCACTGCACTGGCTGAGCAGGGCCACGCAGAGCACCAGGAAGGCGGTGGTGAGCTTCATGGTGGGCTGGAGTTCAGTGGATGTGCCTGGGACAAAAGATGCTTCCCAGAGTCTGGCCTTATGGGCTTCATATACCCCATCCCTCACCCCTCCCCAGGGCTGGGCCTCACCCACCCTGTCCTCCTGAGAAAAGTGCTGTTTGCTCAGCTAGTATGCAGAGCCCTGGCCAACTTCCTGCTCAGGCTGGTGGGCCCTGGGAAGCCCATGCCCCCAACCCTGCCCGGGTCTTGGGACTTCCTCTTGGCTGGATCCTCTGTGAATGAAGGCACGTGGCTGTGCTTTGTCTGCACCAGGCCCACCCAAGCCTATGCCCTTCCAGGGTGCTTTCTGACCTGTCCCCATCTGGCCTCTGCAGTGCTGAGGGCCAGTGGGTGAGGAAGGGGCAGGGCTGTGGCCCCAGGCCTTCCCTGTTCCCAGAGCCTTTTTTCCGTCTTTGAAATCAATCTTGACGTGAGAGTTTCACACATCTGTCACCTATAGAACATGACAGTGGAGAATAAGCAAAACATAATTAATCCATGACACAGGTTCACCAGGAGTTGTGACTTTTCAGGGAGAGTACTAGAGTATCCCCACCTGGGTTACGAGAGGTATCCAGCTCCCCTGAGTCCCTGAGGCCACACTCACCCCTGCAGGGTTTTCTGCTCTCCCAATTGCAGGCGGCATGTAGCTTATTAGCAGCTATGATTACACATGTGCACATGCATGTGCCCACTCATTTTGTACATTTTTTTCCTGACTGGTTTGGGAGGTTTGCATTATAAATGTATGTCTTGTTGGCTATTGTGGGAGTAATTTTAATAGGACATACATTTTCAACTTGTGAAAATTCACCTTCTGAGGGATTTTCTAGAAGGAAGGCTGCTCACAAACCAGGGACAGGACATCCATGTTACTGTGGGTGCAGCAGGTGGAAGAGGTAGCTGCTCAGTGAGTGCACACATAATGTCCAAGCTTCATCCTCTCAAGGGGGCACTTGCTGAAGGACACCGCTCTGGCCAGCTCCATTCTGAAAAGCCTGGGCCAGCAGGTGTATTACCTCCTCCCACCAGTCAGGGTCATGCTGCCTCTTCCCATAGGCAGAGGGTACTGGAGCCTGGGGAAGGCCAGAGGGGTTTGTCTAACGCTTCTTAAAGTAGAGGCTGGTTCTGGGATGAGAGGGACAGCAGCACAAGATGGGTAAGGAGAACATGGACACAGCTGAGCAGTGTCTTCCAGATTAAAACCCAGGAGAGACTGTCTGCCCCCTTTCACTTTCTGTATCAGCACAAGTCTCTGACGTGTTCTCAGTCCCAACACATGGCTGTGGTGTTCCCTTCTGGAAACACCATCTCTGCGTGGGTGGGCAGTATATGGTCTGAGGAGAAGCTGCTGTGGCAGTTGAGAATTGTCAGCAAAGTATCTTAGTGTGTGGGGGTGGCTGTGTATGTGGAGGGCTGGTGCCAGTGTTCTCATTTGTCCTCTTGTCCCTTTTTTTTTTTTAATCCTCACCCAAGGATATTTTTCCATTGCTTTCTGGATACAGAGGGAGGGGGAGAGAGAAAAAAAAAGAAATATTGATGTGAGAGAGATACATCGATTGGCTGCTTCCCGCATGACCTCAACCGGGGCCGTGGATTGAACCTGCAACAAAGGTACATGCCCTTGACTGGGAACTGAACCCATAATTCTGGTCTGCAGGCCAATACTCTAACTGCTGAGTCAAACCAGCAGGGCTGTCCTTTTGTCCCTTTGAAACTTGGGGACAGGGGTTCATGCCAGTGTGAGGTTGGGAGAAGCATTGGCAGTTATCAGGACTGCCCTACCACTCAGATCCAGCTGCAGCTGAAGGACCTCAGACCCACTGGGGCCTGCAGTGGTTGTGGGGGTCTCCCCAGGAGGACTGAGATCAGACTACCATTCAATGTGGGAACTGGAGTCACACTTTCTTCAATGAACATTTGATGTGGGGATTGCAGATGGGACTGTTCTGATTAAGCACTATGTGGGAGTGAACCCCTCTACACTGGGGTTACTAGGTCCTTGGCCCAAGTGTAGGTAGATTTTGGGAGCCAACCTGGGCACCTTCCACCATGCAGACAGGATCAGAGAAAGCTGACTTCTGGGACACACCAGAATGGAGCCATTAAAAGGTTCAGGAATTAGATCCTGGATAGCTATGAGGTGCTTCTAAACCTGCCACACTGCCCACCTCTGCATGGCTTCGTCTCCTTCCAGGCCAGCAGATGGGTGTCAGAATCCAGGTGACATAAGGAGAAGGTACAGGCATGGGCAGCAGCTATCAGCATGCACCTGGGCATCCCTGAGCTGGCTCCTGCACACCTACTCCTGCTGGGAGAGGGCTGGGGTAACACTGAGGTACCCCTCCTTCAGACCTCACAGTCAGCGTATTCTGAGCAATGTCTGCTGGATATCCTTTGGGCCAAAACAAACATTGGCACCTGGCCTGCTCCTCCAGGAATGAAGTGCTGGAGGCAGACAAGAACTTTGGTGGCTGTGGGAGCCAGGCACTCATGTCGGGTGCTGCAACCAGGAGCTGAGGGGCCCTGGCCAGTGGCCTCTGCCTCATGGCTCTGACATCAGCAGACACCTGCAGAGGGCATCTGTCAGTTGTCCCTGTGTAGTAACACAGGAATCAAGGCCAGCAGACCCTTCATATCTGGCTGGGGCCACCATGCATGGCACACCACCCGAGGTCCTGGGAGCTCCCTTAGTCTCTTCTCGTTCCCTTTTTGTCAGACCAGCATCATTGCATGAGTCCTGTCTGAGAGCCTGTTAAGTGAGTCATTAAGCAAACCGGAGCAGGTTGTGGATGCCAGTTCTACTTCTTGGTGAGGATGTGGCTGCTCTAGGTCACACTTGAGGGCAGCAGGAGCCCCCTGTTCCAGGCTATTAGCTTGGTTACCAAGCATCATCCAAGTTCTCTTGGGGGATCCTGTATACCCATCTTTTACTTTTTCTATGATATTCACTGTTGTACAGTCTCCTTATGGTTACTAAAGTTTGGGGGCTTGTTTGGCCAGCCCTGTGCAGTGTGATGATCTTGGGCTTAGAATGTGCCTGTGGTGTTGCTCAAGTTAAGAAATACTTCTATTTCAGCCCTGTCCAGTTGGCTCAGCAGTTAGAGTGCTGGCCTGCAAACCAGAGAGTCCCGGGTTCCATTCCTGCTAACGGCACATATCTTGGCTGCAGTTTGTCCCCGCCTGGTTGGGGTCGTGTGGGTGGCAACCACTTGTGTCTCTCTCACACTGATGTTTCTCTCTCTCTTCCCCCTCTCTCCCTCTTGCTCTGTCTGAAGATAAATGCAAAAAATGTCCTTGGGTGAGGATTTAATAAAAACTCCTATTTAAATCTCTGCGGCTGGTGCACACACAGGCCTGGAAACAGCACCCTGGTGCCAATGGGTGGGCAACCTTAAGGGAGCCCCTCCAATAGCCTGGTCTTGGAGACCCCCTGGCCACACAGCTGCCCTCCCAGAGAAGTCCTTCTGGGCTAGGACCACACCAGCCAACAGGAGATCCTTTCTCTCCAGCTATGAGTCATCACCATGAGGGTAGGTGGGCATGTGGGCATGTCCAGGGCTCCTCTGAGAGCTGAGATGAGGCCATCTCAGTGGAGCCTTGAAGTATGTTTAATAGGAGCAGGTCAGGGGCAGGGCCGGAGTGGGAGGGTTGCTGGGCTCACCTGCCAGGTGCAGAGCTGGTTGTCCTTGCCCAGGGGTCACACCATGAACTCTGCCAACACCCACCTCAGCTCCTTCCTCTTCCTTATAGCTCAGTCATCTGGGCCCTGGGGCTCTGGGCAGTGTCACCAGTGTGTTCTCTTCCTGCCTCTGTGGGTACCTTCACTTGGATCAATATTGATCTGGCTTCATTGAGCACTTCCTTTTGCCCCTTCCCTGTCCAGGGCCCTATCTCAGGGAGGTGCAGGTCAGGGTCAACTATGTGCACTCCATGCAAAAGTGATGGAAATGCTGGCCTGCAATGCTAAATTCAGCAAACACTAAAATTCTGTTTTTTCAGAGAGCTGTCTTCCTTGGGGTTATAAGCCGGCGCTGGTAGTGCCAAACCTCAGACACTGATTTGGGCTTAGGGGAACAAGATGCTGTCCCCGTGAGTCTCCCATAAGATTGCACTGGGTCTCCTATTCTATAGCAGCCATAGCCAAGCCATGCCTTGTATAATTAGGTCCAGTTTATATGTGTCAGCCTGGGCTAGTGTGGCACCCCACCGCCCATGGACTGAAGGTGCGACCAGTAGTGATTCTCTAAATAGAATGGGATTGAGAGGCGTGGGTAATATCACCCTCCCAGTCAGAAGAAACACAGCTCAGAGAACATCAGTGGCCTGCCTGAGGGTCTCTTCTCAGGCCTGGTGCCCCTTGGGACTTGAAGACACAGGCTGGGAGCAGCCACCTGCCATGTGAGGGTATGTCTCAGCCCAGACTCCATACCATGGCCCCACCCACATGAGATGTACTCATTGCCACTCCAAAGTGAGGCCTGTTCAAAGCTGATTAAACACAATTAACCTAAGGATTTAATACCAATACCTTCTGTTACTTCTGTCTTTCAGAGGTCATGGAAGGGACCATGATACCTGACTGTGCCCAAGAGAGCCAGGCCCTCTAATTGGGAGGAAGAGCTGCCTTCTTCTAAGGGGACCACATTTGGTCACCCAACTGCACAAAAATAAGTTCTGACAGGCTTAGGCGGGGGGGTGGGGGTGGGGTCCCAGAGCAGCTCTAAGATGTCACCCTGGGAGCCTTACGCACCTGGCTAATTGGACCTATACAGAAGCTGCCCTATCGCCTTCCAAATCCCTCAATTGTCTCTTCCCAGGCTCTCTGAGTTCCTCCCTTAGCCTTTGTAGTAACCCACATGTCATTTATGGCAAACTTTGCCACCTCTGGCTCCAGCTGGAAAGTTAAAGTGTTTTCTGTCTCTCTGAAGAACAGTGGTGCACTCCACTGAGGTCCAGGACAGGAATGACTCTCTCGCCCTGCAGTGATTGGTGCAGCCAGTAGCTCCTAAATTAATGAGGAGCAGAGAGGGTGCTCACTGACTTCCATAACTCCCCAGTTGGGTTTCATATAAAGAACGTATTTTTCCATATTGACATCCCTTTGACCTGAATCCTTCTCAGGCTTCCCACCTCCGCTACATGTTGTTTTTACGGAAGGCCCTACATTAGCTGAGAACGCCTCTGTTCCTATCAGCCCCAAAGGTCCCTCTGTGATCCCCAATGGGTGTTAGTGTGGGTGGGTGTCTGTAGATGTGGAAATGGATGGATTGATGGATGAGGTGATGGGTATCTTGGGGATAGGTAGATGGGTGAGTCAATGGAAGAGAGGGGTCTGGGTTGAATGCCACTGTAGACAGTGTCTTTCCCAGTTAATGATGCTTTCAAAGGATGACTTACTTGGTGGGGTCAGGGCTTCCTCCTTAGTGTGGTCTCTCCTAGGGGCATTTCAACCATTATGTCATCAACAAAGCTCTGCAAGATGGCAATTCACAGATAGGAAGATGAGGCCCCCTTTCCCTGTTCAGTTTGGCTCAACGGTTACAGCATTGGCCTGCAGACTGAAGGGTCACGGGTTCATTTCCTGGTCAAGGGCACGTACCTGGGTTGCAGGTTCTATCCTCAGCCACGGTTGGGTCGTGTGGGAAACAACCAATCGATATGTCTGTCTCATCAATGTTTTTTCTCTACCTCCCTCCCCTCTCACATCAGTGTTTCTCTCTCTCCCTCCCTCTCTTCCATTCCATCTAAAAATGAATGGAAAAATATTCTTGGGTGAGGATCAACAACAAATTTAAAAAAGAAAAGAAAATGAGGCCCCTAGGGGCAGTACCTAGCCCAGGTCACCCAGCCTCAGGTGCCACATCCTCCACTCAGCCCCAAGCAGCCCCTAGTGCCCAGCCTGGCCGATGCTCTGTGCCCAGCATCGCAGGGTACCAGGGCCTCTCTCAGTGGTCCCAAGGGCAGACCTCCTTCTCCATGATGCTGCAGTCCCCTCTGAACCTGCATGTGGGTATCTGGTGGAGAGGCCCTGTGATATGGACACTGGCTAGTACCTTGAACATTCTGTGGCCTATTATATGAGCTTAGTACTCTGCCTTAAGAGTTGGCCTGGATCTGCTGAGGAGGAGTGGCCTTGGGGGGTGCGCACCATAAGGATGGAGGGGCCAGTGTTTGTGCTGGAGGGCCACTCTGGTAGGCCACTTAGGAAAAGGGTTTTTTCTGCATATCAAATCTGGATAAGGACCCAGCTAACAACAGAGTTCCTCTTCCATGTCTCCCACAGCCATCTCTGCTGCTCCTCAGAGCTGCCCTGGTGTAGCCATCTCCCTACACCCAGGCCTCATCAGGCCCCATTCCGTTCCTTCAAGATTCATCCTTCTCTGAGCATAAATGTTAAGTCCAAGCACATCACCCTTTCCCAAAACTTCCCTCTGGCCTTAAAGTAAAAGTCCAACTCCTAATTTTGGGCTTCCAAGCCCTATAGGATGGGCCCCTGCCAACCTCTTCTCTTCAGTTCCTTTCTCCCTTTCGGCCCCTCCTTCCTTCTGAGTGGAACTTTGCAGAGCCCTGCACACATGTCCCTCCTCACAGCAGAGACTCTGGCCTGTGAGCTCCATGGAAGATGGTGATTGCTGTGTCCCACGACACAGTGTGTAGCTTAGAGCAGGGCCCAGGAGCTCTGCCTGATGCTGAAGGGTAGTGCAAGTTCAGGACAGAATCATCGGCATCAAGGGACACTCAAGCATGTCTTTGGCCTCTTCTAAAGGACTTGATCATGGCTCTCTGGCAGAAAAGGGGGGGGTGGGAAAAGGGGTGTGGGTGGGCATCCCTGAAGATCGGGGTCCTGAGAGGAGGAGAAGGAAGGAGAAGATTCCTAGTAGGCAGGAGGGGCCGAGGGACCTCAAGATGAGAACACGCCGTTGCTCCTTGGCATGCCCCCCCCCCATGGCCCTTTCTTCTGTCAGCTGAATTCTCTTTCCCACCTGGAGTCCCCGGAGCTCTGGGGAGTGAGGGTGGGGCTGGGACCTGGGGACATTGACTGCAGCCCTGAACATCCATCCTAAATAGCACCAGAGGAGCCAAGAAGTGTGAGTGCAGAACCACACTATGGGAGTGGGTGCATTTAGGCTGGCATCTTGATGGCCAACACCAAGTTTGAGACATTCATTTAGGGAAAGTGGCTTAATTCAGCCAATAATATTCTGGAGTTAAGTTATCCAAATCCAATGGGAGGGCGGTCTTTTCTGTATTCACATTTAGATTTATTATAGAAATAAAAACAAAAAATTCACCACCTCTTCCCACTAGAGTTGAAAATGAGGCTTGAACAGCAGGCATCACATCTGCGGGGTGGTGGGGTGGGATTCAGGCACCCAGCAGGTCCTAGGCCCTGGAGGAGTGAAAGAGGCCTGGATGGGGCAGGTACAGTTTAGCCTGCAGGGTGGCTTCTGGCTACTGATCTTTGCTGGTCTCTTTTTGTTCTCCTGGTGAGGTACCCACAGGACTGTGCTAATAGCTCTGCCTGGCCCCCATGTGCCTGGGTCCAGCCCTTGGCCTGGTCCAGGGGTCATCGTTGTCTCTCCCTCCTGAGCCCCTGGGGCTGCTGCTGGATCAGTCCTTCCCAGGAAACATGCTAAGACCAAATCCAGATGGCCAGTGTCACACCCCAATCTGCAGCCACCACTGTGCCAGCCACTTACTTGTGAAGGTTCAGAGTCCAGGTGCACACTCAACTGGGGAAGTGACCCTGGGCTTGCGCTACACGTGCACCCTCTGGGCATCCCAAGTGATCTCAGGCACCTGCTTCATATGGGGAGACATGGGGAACTGGGCCATGCTCTCAGACCCATTGGCCACAAAGTTCCATGTCACTTTAGATATAAAGTAGATTAGGGGAGCACCTTTGTAGCTCTCCAAAACGAGGCTGAGTGCTTCCTGGTGTCCTGGTGCCTCCCTGGTACCCTCTGCTGGTGGCTTTGGGGAAAAGGGTGTCCAGGCTCAGCTGCCTCTGCCGCCCTTTCTTTTGGTGGCCTGGTGGGGCTGATGATCCGATGGGAGGAATGCCTGAATCAAATCTTCACAGAGAGCTGGGACTTAACTGAGAGCCCATTCATTGTTACTCAAAGATTGGCATCAAATTTATTATTATCTTTTGTTAAATATTTCAGAACTTTTCTGAGCACATGTTGTACAAGGGCATGGTAGGTTTTCTTCCCAGTACACATTACATGTGCGGTTGTGAAAGGAGAGGTGGCACAGGTGATGCACACCTGAGGCACCAGGCTCTGCACCTGCATTACTTATGGGGCTCTTCTAACAGCCTCTGGGCCCCTCTACCAGGTAAACCTGAGACCTAGGTCTCACAGTCAGGTGACATCAAAGGAGCAGGTCCAGTGGGGACAGTAAAGATCAGTCACATGCGCACTATAGGTATCCTAAAGAAACAATACACAATGGGGTGGGGGCGGAGGTCTGTGGGCAAACCCTTGCACGGTCGCCTGTCCTGCAAGCGTCTCGTGTGGTGGGGGTGGGATGTCGGTCTCTGTGGTGCTAACTGGGAGGAGGGTCTTTCTCTTTTCGAGTGTAGGGATGGCTGGGTGGTGTGAGCTGGGATGGGGGTCTGAGCGGAATGGCTCCAGCCTCCAGAGGGCTTTGGCTGTTCCCTTGTGCCCACAGAGGCTTGAACTGCCAGGGCACTGATGTCAGGCAGAGACCACAGAGCATAAGATAGGGTCCTCCTGAGGCCACAAGAACATTAGCTGATTGCCTGGTGGGTGGGTACCCTAGGCCAGCCTTGAAGCCTTCCTCGGCAGAATCCCCAGTGTTCACCTCTTATAAGGACCTCAACAGCTTGGGAGATGACTCAGGTGGCAGATCCAGGCCCCAGAGGGAAGAATCAAGTGTTTTCTTCTACTGGGGCTGCTCTAGACCATTAGCTGCTGCTTCCCATTTTGGGCCAGGCAGGTGGGGCTGGAGCCTTGTCTGGAGAGACCACGACTGTGTCTGCTATGATGGCACCAACTGGGGATCAGGGGCAAAAATTGTCTAGATTTAGAAAGAACTTCCCTGGGTTCCCTTCAGACTGAAGTTTTGAAAAGTAAACTCGTCACAGCAGCTCAGTTTCTGAAGATCTAATGAAAAAACAGTCTGCAGAATTGTTCTCACACTCGTGGGAGGGTGCACTGTGGTTGGCCACGCGGCAGAGACAGCTGCCCGAGATGGTGAGCTGTTTGGCTGGGCTCAGGAGAGGAACTTCCCACCTCCACACAATTCCTCATTTGTGCTCTGAGGTGGGAATAGGGCATCCTCTCTTCAGCCCTGGAGCGGCAAGTGAAGAAAGGCCTCCTGGGGATGGGAGGATTGGATGGAGAAACCACATTTGAGGATGGGGCTGAGAGGCTGCAGCTCAAGCCTGGCTTCCTTTGACTGTCGGACCCTCAAAGTACTCGTCAGAAAATGGGATGCGGAACCAAATGGAATTTGACATGAAGAGGAGAAAGGTCCCAGGGGGTCCATGGAAAAGTCCTGGGCAGGCGTGGTGATGGAGTTTGGGGAGCTCTGGAACCTGGGTTTTGCTCTTCATAGCTAGGAAGGGGGGGGGGTAGACAGGGCAGAGGAAATGCCTCCTGGCCGAACCAAAGATGAGTTTCAGCCTGGGTCTCTAACCCTCTGTTTGCCCTGCCAGGCATGGTCCTACCAACTGTGGGAACCCAGGGCTCTGGGGGCTTGCCAGAACTTCATTAGCTGTTGTCTATAAAGAAGACTGCGTGGGCCAATGGGTTACAGTCGTCCTCCCCTCGTGGCCCTGCCAGCTCCCCGTATTCGCTGTTATAGAACACCTGGCCTCCCTGTGTGCCCTGGTCAGGCCACCGTCGCTGCTCTGGGCGGTCAGGGTGTGCCCTGGTCACATCCACATTCCAGCCAGGTCCGTTATAGCTGCTGAGACAGAGAAGGTGGTGTCAGTAGGAATTGAGGGAAGGAGGGACTGGACTTGGGGCAGATCTGATTAGAATCATCAAAGACACACTTGAGCTTAAGTAAGGCTCCACTTAAATAGCAAACCAGACTGATGTGACTGTTGGCAAACACTAGCATTTTCTCCATCCCAAGCTTGGGTGTGGGACAATGGAGAATGCCCAACTTTAATCCCCCAAACATGCTTCTTGCCCAGTCTTGCCATCTCTGTAAATGGCATTAGCATTGACTCCCTGGTTCACATATCTGGTTGTCATCCTTGCTTCCTCCCTTCCCCTCACCCCTCATATCCAATCCATTCAGAAGCCCTGTCTGTTCTAACTTGGAAATACATCCCTGTCCCTCTCTCCATGTCTTGCCCCTACTCTGGAGCAGGTGTCCATCATTGCATGGTCTGTACCACCCTCCCAGCACACCCTCTTCTTTTCTTGTCCCTCCCTCTAGTTAACTCCTCAGAGATCCTTGAAGTTAGAAGATGTCCTTCTACAACAGAGCCTCCAATAGCTTCCATCATTCTCAGAATGAAATCCAAGCTTCTCACCAGAGCTTAGGAGGCCCTGCACATTCCGGGCTCTCCAGCCTCTCCGATGAGCTGTGGGCCTCCTTCCTTAGCTCTTGTTTTCTTTGAGTTCTTTGAAAATGTTGCTTTGTTGCTTTTGTTTTTGTTTTTGCTTTGAAGGTACTATTGAAAAGCTTGATGTCAATCTCGTTTTTTCTTCCTGAGTTGGTATTTTTGCCCAAATTCCCAGAATGTTTATCTGTAAAGTCTAATAGTTCAACTAGGATATGTCTCAGAGTTTACTGTCTGGGCCAGCTTTTCCAGATATAGATTCAGGTCTTCTTTTACTTAGGAAAGTTATCTTGAATTATAGGTTTAAAATTTTAATTCTATTCCACTATCAGCATTTTATTCCTCAGAGACTCCAATTTTATACATATTGGATCTTTTTCTATTCAATTTCTAGATCACTTTCTTTTTATTCTTTATACTTATTTATTAAATGTTACTATTTTATTTTCTTGACTGTTTTCATGTCCATCCTCTGTGTCTTCCACTGTAAGTCTGATCCCATCTATATTGTCTTTTAGGTACCCTGATCTTCACATTTCAGCTTCTTTTCTGAATTTAGTCAGCTTCCATATGATATCTTTACACTATCCACTTTTATTCAACATTTTTAAATTTCTGATTCTTGGTGTAGCTGCTTGTCTAATTATATGTTAAAGTCACATTGGAGTGTTTATCACAGTTTTTCGCTGCTTCATTTTTTTGTGTGTTTACATCTAATGAAAACTTTTTATTCTATTTTTCTTTTTTTGTTTATAACTTTGTGTGGGTAATGCTTATTTATTTTTCTGCTCATGATTGTACATGCTGGGATTTCCTAGACCAAATAGCTAGTGACCCAATGGAAGGGGCTAGGGCCGTGGGTGGCATCCTAGATTGCTTCATTCAGGAGTGCTGTATCGGTCCCGCTCGTATCATATTGCCTCCAAGGAGCAGCCAGTCACTTAGCTGGGAATGCAGGGCCCCTCTTGGCTGCTGCCATGCTGACCTACCACAAGCCCAGGGTTTCTAGACCTTCCGTTCACCTACAGATTTGGGTGATATAGCACTGCAGGAATGGGATCTGGTATCCTGAGTGTCCACTGAAAGGGCTGGATGAGGAAGCTGGACATGCGGACTAGTTAACTCCTCATGGGGTGAGTGCTGAGCATTGGTTAACAGAAAACAGGAAAGGACTGGAAGGTAAATATCCTCCTTCTTCCTGCCACAGACCTCTCTGAGGCACATGCTCTGCTCATACCTGTTTGGTGAGCATTCCATATGCCAAGTGAATTCACCTGACAAACAACCTGCTGCACCTCTCCATAGCTCATTGTGGTGCATTTCCAACAGGAGCCAATGTACACAGAGGCTGCTGCACCCATGAAAGGAAGTTTCTGTAATGAATGGCTCCCTTGAATATGTGTCTGTCTTCTTAATATGATCTTGCTTCCATGGGACTTTCATCATCTGTGACTTTTTCCTTTACCACCAAGCATCTAAGGTACACACTCTCTTCTTGCTCACTGCCCTTCAGAGCAGGGCCTTCCCAAGATGGTGGCCCCTGTGCCTCAGACTTTCCCTGAGAGCTCTGCCCTTCCTACCCGGTCTCAGCCCCTCATTATCTCCCTGGTCTCGGACTACTGTCCCAAAGACCTTGTCACAACTCCCTCTCCTGGGGAAGTCCCCCTCTAACTTTCCTTCCACAGTGGCTCAAGCATAGCTCTGCTGGTTCTGGTGATGAGTTCCCTCCTTACAGAATCTCTCTCCTGGTTATGTCACAGGCTCTGAGCAGCCTTATTCTATGTGTGAAGATTTGAATTTAAGTAGCTATCATCTCCTTGCTTTCCCTCTTGCTGAATTACTTTTGTTGTTTTTGAGACAGAAAATACTGTTTGGTAAAGAAACATTAGCCAGAAACTATTTCTGTTAATGCAATTGGCATTAATTTTCCCAAACCAGGTTACTAATAGAGATCACTGGATAGAATCAATAACAACAAAAACAGAGGCCAACATGCCCCATTCAGATGCATAATTATTCCCAGGCATATAACCCCACAAATGGCAATGTTCACAATCCTGCAAACTCTCTCTTTATAGGCTACTAGGAAAATAACCAATAGTTGGTGTTGATCCCAAGAATGAATGTACCTGTTGAGAAGGACTTCTGGTGGCTAACTGGGCTCAAATTTATAAACACAACCTAGCAGGTATTGTTAAATAGGGGTCTCTCATGCACGTTGCACTTCAGGGAGAAGCCTGCATTGAACTGCCTGCATGCCTTGTATTCTAGCTGGCTGAGCCAACCCTTATAAAGGAGTTCCTGGAATCATACTTCAACCAACAGGGCTGAGACTGTCCTTGTTAATCAGAGCTGTGCAGCTATAGCCTCATATACATCTTCACTGACCAATCAGAGAGGCATTCCAACCAATCAGGACAATGATTTTTGGAACAAACTGAGGATTTAAAAATCCTCATTTGCATGAGAACAGACAGATCAGGGATGGGGGCAGGGACTTCTCTCTACATAAGTCAGCTTCCCTCTGACTCCGGAGAGTGAACTTTCCCTTTCCATAGAAGACTAGACTCCTGGTTCCCCAGCTGGAACTGAAACACCAAAGACAGCTCACTGGACCAGAGTTGAGCAAAGCAGAGCACAGTGGAACAGAATGGGGCTGAGGTGAGTGGAGCAGTTGTCTAGCCGGAAAGGTGCCTTTTGTCCAGGGCCTCTTCACAGCCATTCTATTCCACAGCCATGCTATATCATAATTGAGCTGTAACATTTTTGAGCTGTTTCATAGCTGTACTGTAATCATAATTGAGCTCTTTGCACTGAATAAATTCTCTTCCTTCACTACACCCCAAATCGGGGATACCTGTTGATAATGAATTGGCATCAACAACCACTGGTTGACATTGGTTAAGTTGTAGAAGTCATAAATATACCTACTAGAAAGGTGAAAAAGGACATCAACTATGTTAATGTGACACAAATAAATACTTATGGTTTAAGGTAAAATATTCAGTGACAACATATAAATTGATTAGAAAAAAGCATAGGCAGACTGGTGCAGCCACTGTGGAAAACAGTATGGAGTTTCCTCAAAAAATTAAAAATGGGATGCCATTTGATCAGTGATCCCATTGCTAGGAATATATCCTAAAACACCAATCAGAAAAAATATATGCCCCTGGCTGGTTTGGCTCAGCAGTTAGAGTGTCAGCCCATGGACCAAAGACTTGCAGGTTCGATTCTGGTCAAGGGCACATACCTTGGTTGCAGTTCGGTCCCTGGCCCTGGTCGGGGTCATGTGGGCAACCAATCGATGTCTCTCTCTCACATTGATGTTTCTTTCTCTTTTTCTCTCTCTTTCCCTCGCACTCTATCTTAAGATAAATTGAAAAATATCCTCGGGTGAAGAAAGAAAGAAAGAAAGAAAGAAAGAAAGAAAGAAAGAAGGAAGGAAGGAAGGAAGGAAGGAAGGAAGGAAGGAAGGAAGGAAGGAAGGAAGGAAGGAAATATGCACCCATGTGTTCATAGCAGCACTATTTACAATTGCTAAGATCTGAAAATAGCCCAAATGCACATCAGCAGATGAGTGGATAAAAAAGCTGTGGTACATATACACAATGGAATACTATGCAGCTGTAAGAAAGAAGGATCTCTTACCCTTTGAGACAGCATGGAAGAATCTGGAGAGTATTATGCTGAGTGAAATAAGCCAGTAAGAGAAAGACAAGTATCACATGATCTCTCTCATATGTGGAATCTAATGAACAAAACAAGCTGATGAACAAAATAGATCCAGAGACATGGAAGCAGGGAACAGACTGACAAACCTCAGAGGGAAGTGGGGTGGGGGGCATGGGAAGGGATAAACCAAAGAACTTATATGCATATATGCATAACCAATGGACACAGACAATAGTGTGGTGAAGGCCTGGGGGGAGTGGAGAGGAGGGGGTCAATGGGGGAAAAGGGAGGGGAACACCTGTAATATTCTCAACAACAAAAAGTTTTTTAAAAAGCGTAGGCTGAAGCCAATATTGGCTTTGGGCAACTGTCAGGCGACCCAAAAAGGGGCTATTGGCGAAGATGCAGATGTCAAAGGTGGAGGTGAATGATCTGAAGAAAGCAGAAAAGAACCCTGTTTTGTATAATATTGCTGGTCTTGCCATTTAAACAACTATGTTCACGTCAACTAATAAAAGTGAATCAGTAGACATTTAACTATATTATCTATACCCTTAAAAGTTTAAATATTCAGATTTTTAGGGAATTATCTTCTTGGGCAAATGGTGGTCACCTTCTATCCAGGTCACCCTCTGTATAGGCACATGAGTGAGGATTTTTCTGTAACTGTATTCTTATCAAAATAGGACACCAGCCAGCTCCAGGTTACATGATCTGTCTGGCTCCAGAGGCCACTGGGCTAAGTCCTAGGGGCCTGGGGGCTGGTGTGGCCTTCCCTGGCTGGGTTGTATATGTGCACTGGACATGGTAGATCATACTTGGTCTTGCAAAGAGGTGGTGTCTGAGCATCTGTCAAATGGAAGGGAGATGTGGAGACCAGAACCAGGTGTGCTGGGTCAGGACGGTGACGGAGAAGGGTGCTCCTTTGGGAAGGCTGGTGGCCAAAGGCCTAGAGGCCCAGGATGGATTGCCTTGAACACACAAAAAGGCTACAGGGATCCATGAGAGGTTTCAGGTAAAAGTGAGCCACACACAGGCCCAGCCTACTTCCCTGGACCCCTTGCAGGGAAGGAGACTCAGGAAGCCTTACCTGAGCCCGCCTTCTTGTCTGTGCCTGCTCTCCAGCTGCTCAAACTCCTCGGAGGCCAGCACCATCCCGCTATCTGTCTGGTTATCCTGTGTGGAGAGAACAAGCCAAGACTGTGGGCCCCACTGGTGCCAGGCTGCAGGCACCTGCCCCCAGGCAGGATGGGGCCACATGGACCTGCACTGCCAGCAATCTAACATCCATCTTGTGAGCAGGAAACAGGTGTCTGTTCCCTCACTGAAGCATGCAGGTGAGGGTCACATGCCCCACCATAGAGGGAGAAACTGAGACCTGGGGGCACTGACTGGCCTGTGCTCAGGAGGCAGCAAAGCTGGGATGCTCCACTCTGGGGGACCTATAAGGCAACCATGTATGTATTCAGGATGTTAGATAGGACAAGGGTCTCAAGGTCTGGACAGTTCTTATTAAATGCTATTTTTGCTAAATGTTAAAATGTAGCACAGTGTTTTGCAGACCAGCTGTAAAGAGGATGAGCTTGACAGTAACTCAGATAAATGTAGCCAACTGCAAAGAAGAAATCAGTGTGTAATTGACCAAATAGTGTATATAAGCAATGGCTAAGCCTCCCTTGGAGGAGACAGAGTTTTGGATATGAATCCTTTCTCCTTGCCACAAGCAAATAAAACTACCTTGTGAAAACCACAGGTCTTTCTTGAATAGAGCAATCCAACAGTTGAGTTTGGCAAATATGGCAACTCAGATGGAACTCCCCTAAAAGAACTCTCTTTCAGCCTGGTGTGGACACGTGGTCAAGCAGTGGGCAGCAACAAGCAGCAGCTCCTCCGTGCTTCCTTACGTGCGTCTCCACTGGATGGAGGATCTGTTCCATAGGAGACTCTGGTTGGTGCTGACCACCAGAATGGCTGCCTGGCCCACCTTGACAATGAAATAGAGTGACCACCTAAACCTGTTTGACTCAGCACTTCAAAAGGGAGGTGGGTACGTCAGCCCCTGTAGTCACTTTAATTAGTATTTCTTCTCCTGCTTTGGGTGTAGGGTTGTCAAAAAGGTAGTTTCAGCCCTGGCCGGTTTGGCTCAGCGGTTAGAGCGTCAGCCTGTGGTCTGGAGAGACCCGGGTTCGGTTCCCGCTAAGGGCATGTACCTCGGTTGCAGTTTGTCCTCGGCCCTGGTTGGTCGTTTGGGTGGCAGCCACTCGATGTGTCCCTTTCACATCGATGTTTCCCTCTCTCTCTCTTCCCCTCTCTCCCTCCCACTCTGTCTGTACAAAAAATGGAAAAATGTCCTCGGATGAGGATAAAAAAAAAAAAAAAGGTAGTTTCAGTTCTGGTGCGCACTTGATTTTTGGTTGGGCAGGCAGGAACTCTCTCTGGTACGGGTATTCAGGACTCAACATGAGTCTAACTCTGGAGGGGTGAGGAACACCTGTGGGTAATCCAAGACACTTGGGTGACAATCTCTGGTCTGGTTGTCTGTCCTGCAGAAGTTGAATTTTGTTTTTGTGCCTTGTTTTTCTTATAGTTAATGTGTCAGCTATGGGAAACTCAAATTCGATCCCCGAATGCAGCCTCCTGGGGTGCATTATTCAGAATAGAATAAAAAGAACTCTGTTAATTTAACTTAAAGAAATTAAGCACTTATATAAATTAATAAATATAACAATTGGATCAATGGTGGGAAACAGCTTGTCTTGTCCAAGGCAGCCTTGCTCCAGGCTGGTAGTGGATTTGGGAAGCATTGTTTTCTAAGTGCAGCTTCTTTGCTTCCTTGGGTTTCAGCATTTACTACCCACACATAAGCTTCTCCCCACTACCCCCGCCCTGCTTCTATCCAAGGAATACGCTTTCTGAAGCACCTGCGCCAGGGTTGAACTCATGATGGGAAATGGGAATGGTGCCCTAGCAGTTCCCTGAACAACGTGCTTCCCATCACACAGGTTCACTGAGGATCACACACAAGTGAGCTCATGGTTTTCAGGGGAGGTTATCTGAGATAGAAGAGATAATGTTTTACCTAGAAGATAAGCAAGACTGAGCAGCAAAGGTTTGGCAATGGGGACTTGGGGGCCAGTCTGTGGCTAATGATGTAAAAATACATGCTTGGGATTACATGGGAAGAATTACTAGTTTTATCTCTGAGCTCTGCAAATAATACTCCCACTACTTCCCTTTCTTTGAAGGATAAGAAAAAAATTCCATGCCACATCTCTTTAAAGAGACTCATTGATTTAAAGAGATGTTCTACTAGCAGGTGTGATTTCAGAAATTTTACCAAAGGTGTGGTAACACAGGCCAAATATTCTAGGAGTACTGAAAACAACAAACACCAAACTAAAAAACAAACGAACAAAAAAACCCTAAGATTATCTGGTTGGATTGGTACCAGGAAAGAGAGAAAAGCCTGCTATCATTTAAAATGTAGTTTGAGTCAGCTTGGCTGGACTTACAATTATGAACCAGAATCAATCACATGTATGTATTTTGAGTCATAGAAGCCATAAAGGTGGGCTTCCTGGCCACATGGTATGCAAGAAAGATGAAAATGACAAGGGAAATGCATTGCTTTTAGTAAAATTTTAGAGTGGTCTTGAGAGGTAATTTACTTGGTTCCTTGTCCATTCATCTGTAATGATGATTTTGAGATCACTGATTCTGGGCAGGTGCACAGTCATGCACTCCCTGTGCCAGAGTCCAATCAAATCCTGAAGACTACTGAGACCTCAGCTTCTTTTCTGAGCAGCCCCCTCGCTCCCCTGCTCTCCTCCAAAGCTGTGGGGTGACTGTAGGTGGGGCAGTGAAGTGATAGAGCTTGCTTTTTGTGTGCACAGGCAGAAAACCGTGCTTCTAAGCTGTGTCCCCTCCTTGAGGCCTGGACCCCATTCAGGGGTCCCCCTGGCTTTGGGAGTCTGCTGACCGGCAGTGGAATGAGCTAACGCAGGCACTTGCCCTCCTTTGGAAGCAGCAAGGTGGAGAAGCCCAGTCATTTATCACAGCCAGAGGCAGTTCTGGAAGTTTAGGAACAGGATACTGCACTGCTAGGGTGTAAGCTGGAAGGGAGACCGGTTCAGGGAGGCCTACCACCCAGAACCTCCTTTTAGCAGATTGGTTCTGAACTGTAGCATGTTAGCCAAGCAGTAAGACCAGGTATCTTGGGTCTGTTCTCTGCCTCTCGCAGTCCCACCTGTCTGGGATGGGGTAGGGCAAGCCTTGGGAAGACCTTGTCTGTCCATCTTCTCTAGGAGTCCAGAAGCCAGAGGGCTGAGAAGAGCCAGGACCTATAAATGCTGGGAGAGAGAGGCTGGGGCTGTGTGAGTGAGGAGGGCACTGGCAAAAGCAGCTGAGAGACTGTGGTGTGGAGGGAGCACCCAGCCCCCAAAATGCTGAGGTGCAACCTGGACATTTCAGGAGATGGTGGGCTCCCTTTACTGAGCTGGTTTCTGTTGCTTGCCTCAGGTGTTCCTGCTGTCTGCCCCCCTACAGAGAGCCTGGAGGCCCTGATCTGGGGTGCACAGCCCCCTCCCATTTACCACGGAGGCCTTGTAGGCTGTTGGGGTCATGGGAAACTCTTCAAACGTTTTCATCCTGGATGGTCCCTGGGTCTGAGTCCCTCTGGGCAGGCTCCCAGGAAAGGATACACAGTTGTAATATCTGTGTGGAGAAAACAAAGTGCTGAATAAATGCACCCAGCATTCCTCCTGAAAACTCTGACCACCTCTCCCACCTTGACTCCTGCTGGGAAGCACCTTAGGCCTGGGACTGGAGTGCTGCTCTGGGCTCCTTTCCCGGCACCCTCACACTCCTCCTGCAGGAGGATTAACCCTCCTGAGGCCACTGCTGTGGAGGGGATAGTAGAAAGGGAGTGGAGCATACCCAGCTAGCTGGGTGCAGTGAGAGACGGGAGGCCTTCCCCCTAGGATGGGCCACCCTGTGCAAGGCAGGCAGTCCCAGTGCTGCAAGCCACTGTCTGGCCTGAGTGTGTGAACATTTGTGTATGTTGAGGGGTTGGTGGAAGGAACCTGGTAAGAACCAGCTGGCTGTTCTTGTCCCTGGGCCTGGCTGTGATCTACACTGGGGCAGGTGGGCAGGGGTCTCAGAGCCCTCTTAGTAATACCAGTGGGAATGTGGAGTGTAAACAGACACCAAAAGAGACCTCTGGCTGGAACTCTGGGACCCAAGGCTATGCTCTCAAACCTGGATTCCAGTTAGTAGGTGGCCTACCCTACGCCCAGGGTCCCTGTCAGTGGCCCTTGGGATTCATTACCCTTCCCTCCCTCTTCTTGCAATGCGAAGCTGACCTGGCTACTGTACCCCAGATGGACAGTCCCTCTAAATTGGAGAGTCTCTCGGGGGCTAAGAGTGCAGGGAAGATGGAGGGCAGAGGTAAGGACTGAGGAGGCACAGCAAGGAGTAAAGGCGCAAGGCCACATGGCCCTGTAGTGCCCCACACCCCCGGGGCAGACCAGGAGGATATTATCAACACCAGCACTGCCATCTACAATCACTTTCTAATTTGAGTTGGCATATAGTGGTCTCTCAAGTCCTTGTAGTGTGCTTTTCCCCTGATGAGTGATGAGGATAAAATACATCATATCTAAACTGTTTTCTTCTTCCTGGGGGAACCCCTCTACCTGAGGAGGGCAGCTGACCTGGCAGCCAGGCTGTGCCGGTACAGGCTCGACCAGCTGCCCTCCTTGGTGGTGTCAGCCTCAGCGACATGCAGGGCTGTGGTGGACACCTGCAAGAAGCTGCCCTCCTCCAAACACGAGCGGCTGGGTGCCATGCAGTCCTCCTCCGCCTGATGGCAGGAATGGGAGAGGTAGCTAGGATCAGAGGCCATGGTGCCCCCGCAGCCCCACCCCTGTACTCAGGACTGCTGGGGTTCCTGGCCTAAGAAGTGCTTTGCTCAGAGGGCTCTGAGGAATAAATGAGCCAGAGGAGGCAGGCATAGCAAGAGCATTCCCCAGAGCACCCCTGCTCTGCAGCCTCAGGAACCAGCACCAGCACTTCCCACCCTCTTGAGGCAGAACTGAATGCCAAGTGCCAGTGGCCTGGGCAGCAGGCCTCCCTGCTCACTGCTCCAGGTCTCAAAGCACTGTGGCCCTGAGCCAGTCCTGAGCACCCCGAGGGGAACAACACACAAGGCAATGGCAGGTGTAGGGGCAGGGTGGCAGGAAGTGCAGGTGCAGGAAGGGAGAGGAAAAGGGGGAAGAGGAACACATCATTCTTCTGCCTGGAGCAAGGGACCTCCTCCAAGGCCAACATGGCCTCTAACCATACTGTATGACAGCCAGGGGCAGGGGCCAGAGATTTGCTCCAGCAGGACATGGCCAAGAGGGGTGCTCACCAGCTGGCCCCTGCCCTGGAGCAGGTCCCCCAGCATCTCCACCAGCTCTGAGAAGGCAGGCCTCTCTTTGGGGTCTCCAGACCAACAGCTCATCATGATGCGCCATCTGGGGAAAAGCGCTGCTGGGTTGGGGTTTGGAGGCCAGCACCCTGCACCAGCAGACCCAGTCCCCCCACCTTGGCTCTCACACCCACCTGCCTGTCCCCTACCCCTAGGCATCAGGAAGGAGGGGGTAGAGTGAGACTATGTCTGCAGACCTCCACTCCCACTCTTGGCTGTACCACCTCCCTATTCCTGCCCCCTTCAAGGCCCACCTCTCCTGACCCCCAAAGCCAGCTTGGCCAGCAGAAGACTCACATGGCAGGAGTGGCCAACTCTGGGGCCCTCATCCGGGTGCCCTCCTTCAGCCGCTGGCAGAATTCCTCATTGATCTGTACCCCAGGGTACGGGGAGGCCCCTGACAGCAGGGATGGGGTGGGGGTGGGTGAGGGGTGGGGAGCAGGCATCTGCTGCTCAGCCCAGCCTCCCAAATCGCTTCTGCCCTGACCCCTGTGGCGGGGTGCTAGTCCTGTACTCCTCTTCCCCAGGGCCAGTTCTTTATATGGCTGCTATGGTTGCAGCGAGCATTAATGCTTTAGAGACATACTAGCAAAAGCAGGGTTCCAAGGTGATCAGGGTCCTAGGGGCCTTTTGGTCTCCTTCCGCCTCCCCAGGTCAAGCCACACAGCAGTACGAGTCAGACTACTCTAGCTCAAAGCCCCACACGGCTCCCATTAGACTCAAATTCCAGGTCCTCACCCAGCCTGGAATAGCTCAAAGGAGCTGCAAGGGCCACCTCTCCTATTTCTAGCTTCTCTATTGACCCTGGGCCTGGCTGCCCCTGGCCCTGGCTGCTGTCCTCCCAGGCCCACCTGCCTCATCCTACCCAGTCACCAATCCAGCCCCTCCCAGGCCCTCTGGCTCACACTACACATCCTTCTTGGACACTGTGTTCTTACTTTAGTAACAGCATTCATCACCGTGGCCATCCAGTGCTTTTACTTTCCCACTTGTTCACTGCCTTGTCCCCATTCTAGCTTGGGGGCTTTATCTTGGTTCCAGTGGGGCCCAGGTTCCCAGGTGAGGCCCCAGAGTGAGCATCCAGCCCTCTGTATGTCTTTCCCCAGTGCTTGAAGCAGGAGCCACATCGCCACAGCAGGAGAGAAAGGGCTAAGCCACAGAGGGAGATTTTGGAAGATATACTGTGCCTCTCCCTCTGGGACCTGTGTTGAGCCAAGGTGCTGCCTGGTGAACACAGACTCTGTCCTAGCACAGGCTGGAGCCCAACACTCTCCAGAGATTGCAGGGTGGCCTATGCTGGGGGTCAGGAAGGGGTATTCTCAAAACACCTGCCTCAGAACAACCTGGGTTTCATGCTCCAGGGCTGCCCAGTCCCCTGCACTACAGGGGCTGGTGGTGCCTGGAGCCTATGATCCCACCTGCGAGTGGAGTGCTGTCCCCTCCCCTGCAGCCTGCCCTGCACTCACCCAAGGAGAAGATCTCCCAGAGTAGCACCCCAAAGGACCAGACATCACTCTGTGTGGTATACACCTTGTCAAAGATGCTCTCAGGTGCCATCCACTTCAGGGGCAGCCGGGCCTGTGGGAGACAGAGGAAGTGTCCTTCCCACAGGGGAGGGAAGAAAGGAAGGAGGCCAAACCCTAGGTAGCCACCCTCCAGTCCCTGCTCTCCTGGACTCTGGGGCCATGCCCCAAGAAAGGCTTTTGGCTGCACCCATCGGTGTTTGTAAGGTGGCTCCTACAACTTGCCCTGCTCCACTCCACTTCCCAAGGATGCTTGATGCCTCCCTGAAGGCTTCTCTGCTGCTGTCCTGGTCCATGCGGGCCCGTTTTGGCCCCTGCACTCTCCCAGGAGCTCTTGCACCCCTCCTCCAGCTCCAGACCCTCAGTCCAGCCTCTGGAGGAACCGGGTCTCTGCAGGCCCTCTTTCTCCCCACCTAATCCACTCACTTGGTCCCCACACTGGATGCCCAGTGTCACTTCTGACCCCTCCTCCTGTGGCTCCTGATGTGATTCCCACCATGTCTTTCCCACGGATGACCTCTCCCTGGGATCCCTTCCTGATTGGCCTCTGCATCCACCCTGGCATCCCCACTCCTGTCTCTTCATAAATCCAAAGGGGGGCTTCTGGAATGCACTCCTGCCCCTCACCTGCACAAGCTCCCACACACCTGCCCCTCACCTCCACACACCCCACACACCTGCCTCTCACCTCCACACACCCCACACACCTGCCCCTCACCTCCACACACCCCACACCTGCCTCTCACCTCCACACACCCCACACACCTGCCTCTCACCTCCACACACCCCACACACCTGTCCCTCACCTCCACACACCCCACACACCTGCCTCTCACCTCCACACACCCCACACACCTGTCCCTCACCTCCACACACCCCACACACCTGCCCCTCACCTCCACACACCCCACACACCTGCCTCTCACTTCTGCACACCCCACACATCTCCCCCTCACCTCACCATGCCCCACACACCTGCGAATTAGAGTGAAAGACAGAAGCCTTCTGCACAGTGGCCTGTCACAGACTGGACCCATCTTGGCCCTTGCCTCCTTCTGGGACAAACCCTTACTCAGCTGTGGGTACCCACTCAGGCGCCTGTTTGACCACTTCTGAGTGCCACCAACAAGATACACCCTGCACCTGGCCAGTGCATCGCCAGGATGGACTCCATGCAGGGTACACCTCTGCATGTGCAGCCCCACAGCGCATGCATAGGAGTCGGTGTCCGGCGAATGGACCAAGGCCTGGGCCAGACACAAGCTCCAATCAGAGCAGTGTGGTCCCCGATCCTTAACTCCTGTCCCTACTCCCCTGCCTGATATACCTAGGTGGGTTACTTGGGTCCCTGCTGGCCCTCAGACCTTCCATGTAGACAGCAGTGAGTCTCCCACACTGCTCCTGAACAGGAGGCCCATGGCCTGCACTCACGCTGCCCTTGCGCACGTAGTCAGGGTCCTTATAGATGTCCCGGGCGAGGCCAAAGTCGCAGATCTTCACCACATCGCTTTCTGACAGCAAGATGTTCCGAGCAGCCAGGTCTCTGTGGATGCACTAGAGGCACGAGGAGGTGTGAGGCACAGTCAGCAAAGGCCACTTACTAAGGCCTCCGTGGGCCCTGTTCCTCCCACCACAGGTTTCTGTGCATCACCAGGACTTGCTATGGAGAGGGCTCGTGGAGTTGGGACAACCAAGGAGGATGTGAGGTGGGACAGACTCTGATTCCACATCCAGCTCTACCACTGACAAACTGGAAATCTTGGGAAGTTATTTCCATACTGTGGGCTTTTTTCTGCCCTGCCAAGTGGGAGAGACCTTCTCGACCTCAGGGTCACTGTGGGGTGAGCTGGGGCTGCTCACATCATGGCATGCTGGTGGGATCTGTGCCCTTCTTCCCTCTGAAGGGCTTGCCAGGGCAGTCACCTTGCGGGAGGCCAGGAACTCCATCCCTCGGGCCACCTGGAAGCTATAGCAGACGAGGTCTTCCATGGTTAGAGGGCTGACCCACAGGTCCTCGGCTGCATAAAGGAGCAAGACAGGCTCAAGAGGGGGTCCCCTCTGTGATCCCCATCTTCCACACCACCTCAAAGGGAGTATTTGCTCATCCAGTCCTTGCTGCATCTCTCTTGGCTGGGCCTCTGATGCCCCTGGCACTAGCTAAAAAGCATAGGGGCCCTCTCTCTGCCCCTTAGTCTCCACATTCTACAACACCCACTATCTTTCAGGTCAGTGAATACTGCTAAATCACTGGACCTTTGCACTTGCTATATCTGCTTGTCTGCTCCCCATCCCTATCTGCAAGGCAAACTCTTATTCATCCAGGGATGCCCAAATCAAATGTTGAACATTTCTATGAAGACTGCTCCTGAGGTACATTCCCTTTCTAAGGCAGAAACCATCATGTGGCCTCCCACGTAGGCTCCTCCAGGAGGGCCCCAGGCCAGTTGATCCCACAGTCCCCTGATCATGAGATATCATGATGCCAGCCGTATTTTGGGCAAGAGAAAGCCAGGCTCTTACCTTCTTGGACCAGAGTGGCCTGCCCCGCCTTGCTCTTGCCCTCCAGGAACTTTCTTAAGAGGTCCCTTTCACTGCTCCCGGGCCTCCACCAATCTGCTTTGGCACCCTGCACCATTTCGTGGAAGCGCCTTCGATGCTCCGGGGATTTGTACTGCGGATATGCAAAGCGGATACAAAGCACAACCCCGACACACCCACCTACCCACCTACAGCAGAGGCATCACCTTCAGCCCACCTTGGCTCCCCGCGGCCTCACTGTAGAGCTCTGGCCCTTGCAGGGCGCCCACTTACTGCATAGGGGCTGAAGGTCTCCCGCTTGGCGCGCAAAAAGTTGGAGAGGTTGCCGTATTTGCAGAACTCTACGATCACCATGAGGGGACCTAGGGCAGGGCAGAGGCGGGTGTTCGGTGACCGAGGGCGCGAGGGTGGGCCAGCACCGCAGCAACGTCCCCGCCCACCAGTCCTCCTCCGCCCCAAGCTCAGCTGGCCCCTCACCCGCAGATTCAATGCCCCGAGGGCCTCGCCTTCCCCCCGCAGGGCGCCCAAGCTCCATACCATTAGGCTTGGTGCACGCCCCCAGAAGGTTGACCACGTTGAGGTGGTTACCAATGTGGATTAGGATCTTGAGTTCCGACATCAGGGCGCGGTGCTCGCTAGCTGTGGCGCCCTCTGGAGGTGACACAGGGTCTTCGCCTGATGCCAGGTCCGCCCGCCTCCGCCCCAATCCCTGTGCTTAGCTAAATCACCTTTGGCGCTCTTGCCAGTGGGGGCGCAGGGTCCTCAGCACCGCCCAGCCACCCCTCTGAGGCAGGAAGTTCAGATGGGATTGGGAAGGATTACTCAAACCTGAGCCCCAGACCCGGCTCTGATTCCCATGGACTCTCTGTAGAACCCTGTGTGAGACCCAGGGTTCTGAGCCTCAGTTTCTCTTCCTGCACCACATCACTACCAGCCCACCCAGAGCTGCTGCTCCTCACCAGCTCGGAGGCCCCTCCACCGCTGACCCCACACCTTTCAGCATTTTCACAGCCACAGTGTCACAGGTGCTGCCCTTGTTGATTCCAAAAGCAGAAGCTTCTACCACCTTCCCAAAGGCCCCGTGGCCCAGAACTCTCCCTGTAGGGGCAGGGAGCCGATTTCAGGTGAGCTGCACGAAGGTGAGGGTGGAGAGGGATGGGCAGCAAAGGCAACCCGTGTGGAGGACCAGGAAGGGGAGGAAGGTCGGGAACCCCTCTGCCAAACAGGAAGAGCCTGGAGAGGGGAGCAGGCAGAGGGAGAGGAGAGGCAGACAGGAAGGCCTACATCCTCTCCCAGCAGGTGCAGTGGGCCCACCCTACTCAGGGCAACAGGATGTGACCTCTGGGGCCTGGGAACTGGGAGCCCTGGCTGTGGTTCTGGGATGCACTCCCAGATGGACGGGTCAGGCCAGGTGGGACCCAGGCGGGACTTTCTGGCATGAGTTCTGAGAATGGATGGATTCCAGGGCTCCAGCTTGCTGCTCTGCAGCAACTGAAGTTGCCTCTGCCAGGTAGGACAGGGTGGGTGGGGCACACTGGGTGCTGGCCTCACCGAGGTGCAGCCGATCCCGGGGAAACTCCCACTGACTGGCGTCATAGGATAGGTATTCACACTGCTCCTCCAGAGGTACCTCCCCGGGGTCCATGATGATGGACAGGTAGCCGGTCTTGATGTCTGCATGGGCTGGCTGGGAGTGGGAGTGGGGATAGCTAATTGGTTAGGGCATACCTCCGTGACTTGGGTAAAACTTTGTCCAGAACAGATGGGATCTCCTTCGAGGCTCTTAATCAAGGATAGGACAGTAGGACAATCTCTGGATAGGACAGTAGGACAATCTCTGCCCAGCCGGAGGGGTCAGGGAAATTTCCAGGGAGGTGAGGCTTCCAGGTGAGCCAGGACAGGGACCTTATTCCTTATCTTTTGGGCCGGCAAGGGTGAAGAGAAACCCCGTGAGGAGCTAGAGAGAGGAGCGCTCACCCTCCTCATGTTACAGAAAATGATGAGGAGGAGGACCCAGAAGAAGACGGCTATGACCCCGGTGCCGACAAGAATCACGATCTCCATGCTGCCTTTATCCTCGGAGCCTGAGTGGGCAGAAATAGCCGTGTGTGTGCGGAGGGTGCACCCCCCCGCGAGCACCCTTCTGGTGGGCATGACTTGGGGTGGCCACAAGAAGGCGCCAAGAGCGAGGCCAGACCTTCTACCGCCACACTGGCAGAAGAGTTGACGCAGCCCTTGGCGTTGCACACACTGCACAGATAGCGGCCTGCGTCCTCCTCGCGCACGCGCTGGATGCTCAGCTTTTGGTTGGAGTCCGCCAGGTCGATTCCTGAAGGGGTGAAAATTCAAGTCTAGATGGGCCTGTGTGTGGCCTTGGCCTCCTGAGCCTCCGCACCCTGCTCTTCGCCCGGGTCCATCCCCTACCGGACTTTTCCTCCAGCAGCCTCTCGTCTTTGTACCACATGATGCTGGGCACGTGCGTCCCGGCCACAGGGCACCGCATCTCCAGGGAGTCGCTCACGTTCACCAGGAGGTCGGTCAAGTTCTGTGTAAGCCGTGGGGCTTCCAGGGCTGGGAACAGAAATCAAGAGGGAGCTAAGTGTAGTGTAGAAAGCCAGAGGGCACTGGGAAGGGGCCTTCCAGAGAGTTTAGGGTGGAGACTGATTACAGGAAGCTGAAGGAAGGGACAGAGTTTGAGAGCGGCGTGGGCAGCGGATGTTCCTGCAGACTCAGACATGTGGATGGACGGCCCATGTGCTGGTGCTGGGGGAGAAGGTTACGTGGGAAGCGCTGCCCACTCTCCCACGGTTGGCCCTGCCTGCCTCACCTTGCACTGACAGGTACTTCTTGTGGCAATGCTTGTCATGGCTGTGACGGTCCTGCACCTCGCACACGTAGTCGCCCTCATGCTCTGGTGCCACGTGGGGGATGGTCAGGCTGAGTGTGGTGTGGCGTGCCCCCGGTGCCCCTTCCTCCAAGCTGGCAGCCAGTGGTGTGGCAAATAGGTGCACGTTCTTGCAATCGAGCAGCAGTGGGTTTCCGTGTGCATCATGCAGTGTGGATAGGTTGAGTCGGTACCAGCGCAGATGCTCATAAGTGTAGTTGTCTGCTTGGCAGCTCAAGCGTACAGCCTGGCCCTCTAGGGGCTCCTCCGATGGCTCGGATTCAATGCTGAAGCCATCAGGGATGGCTGGAGTGGAAGGAAGAACTGCTGTAACATTGTACCAGTGACATTGTTACTCACCGGCCAGGTGTTTGTTCTTCCCTTTTCATTGGCTTTTGGACTCACTCAGCTCTCAAACAAAGATATGCATCACATAGACCTGGGCCTTAGACACCACCTACAGTCTTCTTTACCCCTTTCACTCATCACTGACCACTGGGGCCAATCCACAGATGCCAGCCCCACAGGCTCTCCTTCTGCCTGTCTTCTTTCAGCTCTCTCCTGGACACGCCTCAACCTGGCTGCTGTCCCTACGTCTCCCAGCTGCTCCCACCTCCCCCAGTAGCCCCATCACCAGTGAGTTCCTTGTTACCGGACTCAATGGGGACCTGAGTCCCCATCCTGCCTTGCTGTTGACCACCTCCCACCACTGTCCTCTCCTTGAAACAATCTCATTGTTTCATTTACTTTCAGCAGTAACTTTCTTGCTTTGATTTCCCTCTGGCCATTCCTTGTCAGGCTCCTGTGGGCTCCTCTCCCTCTCCTCCACCTAAAGTGTCCTCTCTGGCTCCATCTCTCTACCAGGTCTTCCACCACTACCACCACCACCACTACCACCACCATTAGCACCACCACCACCACCCATACCCCTGGACCCAGTGACTACTCTTTCATGGGCTTCTTAGCTTTCCTGAGGTCACCAACACATTTGAAAATTGGAGAAAACTATGAAACTTCTCCTCAGGGTAAAACACACCTGTGAGCCACTTCTTCAGATCCAGGGCTTGGGAAGAGGGAGGGAGGGTGGGAGGGAGGCAGTTAGGTGGAGCTTCAGGGAGCAGTACGGCACCCTGGGTGGAGGTGCCTCCAGGGCTGAGGACAGAAGGTGCTACCCCATCCCAGTGGACCAGCATGGTCTCCAAATCCATCCCTTTTGCCCAGGCCCAGGGCAAAAGGGATATTTCTCCCGAGTACCCCACAGTCACCAGAACCTGAGTGGGCCCCAACCTTGTCTCATCCTCCTCTCCCAGGCCTGTTGTGCCCACCTGGTCCCTGACCCCCATCAGGCCTGCACAAGTCACTCACTGGTCACGTAGAAATAGATGAGCCGCTCATCCTGGCCCACCTTGTTGAAGACCATGCATTTGTACATGGCAGACACATTGGCATCCTGGATCACCAGCTTGCTCACCGTCTGGGCAAAGCACAGGCAAAGGATCTGTTTCATGCCTGAGTTTCCCAACCCAACCCTCTCTTTCTGAAAGGAGGCTGCTGTGCCCAGCAGAGTAATGGGGAAAACTGAGGCTCTGAGCTGGAGGTGACAGAGTTGAGACAAGACCAGAAATGTAAGGCATAGAAGAGAAAGTAAGGCTTTCAGGCAGTGAAGGGAGGGAGCTCTTGGGAAAAGTCAGTGGATGGTGCTATGAACAGCTGGTATCGGCAGTGGCTGGGGCCAGAGGGTTGCATTAGGCCGGGCCAGAAAGATTTCTGACTGTGGCCATTTGAGGAGGGGACAGGGGCCTAATGATCCTGGGTCAGTCCAAGTCAGGGTCAGGATTCACGCTAGAATCACATCAAGGCTCAGCCTGTGGCCTAAGATAAACAGCAGGTCCTTCTGTGAGATCCTTTGATAACGTGCACATTCGCTCCAGAGCTGCTCACAACACCTCTCCCAGTGCCCTGGGTAGTGGTGAGGGAGGGGCTAGGTCCTAGACATCCCGAAGGACTATAGCCTAGGGCAGTAGGAAGCTTGGAAGCAGAGAAGAGGGTCACAAGCCCTGCCTACCATCCAAAGACACCCCCCCACACACACACTTTAAGTTGGGCACTTCCTGGCTAGGCCTGGAACAGGAAGAGGATCTGGAGGTGTGTAGGAAAACAGGAAGTGACTGTAGGAAGTGGGTGCCTTTGTTTAGTCCCCTCCCCTGCCTGGCCTCTTCTAAGTATTACCCCCAGGCTGGGGCAGTGTTCAGCAGCCTTTGGTGGGGACCAGGCCAGCCCCTAGTGAGCAGTTGTGAATCTTATCTTTCTTGTTTAGGAAGCAGCTGGAGGTCCTGCCCCCCCCCCCCCCGCCCCCACACACACATGCAGGCAGGGGAGCTGAGGCCCAGAGACACTGCAGAAATGACACCTACTCAGCTGCTATCTCCAGAGCCCTGTAGGCCTGGTAGATACCAAGAAGGCCAGGAGAGGGCCTCTCCCCTTCTCCCCTCTCCTTCTCTCCTGATAGTCGGTGGCATGGCTGGCCCATACCTTATTTTTCCCCTCCACAAACTCAGTCCAGGTATCCAGGCTTTCAATGGGGTTCACAGCATCCTGCGTGGTCACCTCCCTCCAGTCCCGGCACTGTGGCATGTGGTCTCTCTGTTGCCGTCGGCTGCTGGGGCCAAGGAAGGACAACGACCAGTCAGAGGTATGGGCGGGGAGGGCCCACATGGGGGTAAAGTTGAGCCTTTGTCATACTCAGGGTCATGTTCTACAGTGTGGTGGGTAAGGCTGGCCTTTGGCTGGGGTGAGCAAGGGAGCGGGAGCATTTGCTTCTGGAACACTGTCTCCCACTCTTTATGTTCAGGGCCCTGTAACACATCCTGCAGGGGCTGCCAGACACAACCCTAGTTGGCTCCAGGCTGTTGTCTCCACTGTCCCCTACTCACATTATCCCCCCCTGCAAAGTCCACCCAGATCCCCAAGGGCAGCAAAGTCATCAGTCCTGCTCCAAGAAGCCCTCTTTCTCCCTCCCTCTTCAGAGCTGGTGGGGTCTGGTACCCCAAGGGAGGCTCTTATCTGCCCCAGAGCACTGCCAGCTTGTACAGAACATGGTAAAGCATCAGAGGGAAGCAAATTTGGAGGTGCCAGCAGTGACCCACAGGCTTGTGATCTAAAAAAGTCTCTTATGAGCCTTGGACATTGTAGGCTAGCTCAGGCCCATAGGCCACCCCTACTGATCCTCCCACACTGACCATGCTGGGTCACAGCCCCTCTACAATGCTGCTGCCCTGTCTTCTCCCTTGCTTCCCAGTTTCTGTCCCTCCCCAGCCTGTGACCCTCTGCTCAGCATCGTTCACTGGCTCCCTAGTGCCTCCCAGACCTCTGCCCACCTTTACACTCTTCTCTCCTATCCCCTGCTTGTCCAAGTTGTCTCTATCCTGAGAGTTCTCCCCAGCCTGTCTGCCCAGTTGGCACCCAATTCAGTGTAAGGGTACGTGGCCAGCAGTCGAGCAGGCTCTGCTGCTTAAAGCTGTGACCTCAGGAAAGTCACCTCCCTTCTTGGATTTTCAGTTTCCTCCTCTGTAGAGGTGATTGTAAGCGCTGCACAGGCAAGCTCATGAACGTGGACATGCTTGGTGTGCCATGGGGCTCAGCACAAATCTTGTGCAAGTGGATCAGTTCTGCCTGGTTGGCAGGGGGTGTCCTCTTGGCTTATCCCTTGGCTCTCTCTGATGATAGTTTTGTGTCTGGGGGCCTTGCTCAGGTAGGTGGGTGGGCCTGACTAAAGCAGGGAGGCTCTGAGCCTTGCTCAGATGCGATGATGTCATGGATTGGATGATGTCAGTGTAATTGTGACAGGGTTTGAGTTTAGAGCAGGGCTCTTGGGAGGGGTGTGGGCAGTGAGTGGAGGTCATGGCTGAGGTTGGGGACAGGGCTAGCAAGCAGGGAAAACAGGCTGGAGCCACACTCACAGGCTGCGTTGGGAGAAGGTCTTGCAGGGTGTCCACGGCCGCCAGTACCACTGGATGCTGAGAGGAGCGGGCACCCCATAGGCAGTACAGGTGAGGGCCTGGCGACTGTGGCGGGAGTAGATGCTGGGGGAGGAGGCCTCCTTCTCATGGATGTTGGGGGGTACTAGAGGCACAGATAGGCAGCTGGTCAGCTGGCCACCGGACCATGCCCACCAACCCACCTACCCCTCTTCCATCCCACCCACCCCTACCATTCACCACCAGCTCCAGGCTGATGTTGTGCTTCAGGCCGGCCATGGAGTTCCACAGGGCGAGGGTGTAGATGCCTGCACTGGCCTCTGTCACCTCCTTGAGCACTAGGGCATGTGGACTGTGGCGCCCTGACACAGCCTTTCTGTCCTTGTACCTGGCCCAGGAAGGGAGTTCAAGGAGCTTCAAGGACCCACCCCAGCCCCATCCGGGCACTCTTTCCCTGCCACACCCCAGCCCTTACAACTGGAATGTACTGTCAGGAGGCAAGACCCCTGAAGATCGGAAGGAGGCTGCTGGTGCAGGGTAGGACAGCCAACTCTGCACTGGGGAGCAGATGGCCTAAAAGCTATGGAGATGGTCTCCAGTCATGACCACAACCTCGACAGGCTCAGGAACACTGAATTCTGCAACAGCACACTCGACAGTCCCTGCAGGGCTTTCCACAGGTAGTGAGTTACTGCTCAGTGTATCTGCCTTCTCCCTGGCCTGTGGCCAGGACTAGCCTTTGGCAACCAGGCTCAGAGGCCCATCCCAGAGTGTCCACTCACCTTCCCAATAGGCCCTATCTCTTTCTCACAGGTTTCAGAGGTGGGTACAGTGAAGGAGGGACAGTACCTTACCAGATTGAGCCCTGCCTCGTTCTCTCCTGGCTCTGCTCTTCCTGGAGCTCGCATTCACTGTTACCACCTCCCTCCTAAATGCAATTAAGTGCCCACTCATCAGACAAACCTGTCCTGTGAACCAGCGGGGCTCTCGGCCCTGTTTCTGCTGCCTGCTCATCTGCATTGTACTTTTCATATTGACTGTCTGTCTCTCCCACTGAGCTGGACTGTCCCCTTACTGCCATGTCCCCTACACAGAGAGCAGTGCCACGCATGAGTAGGTACCCAATGCATGTTCGCTGCATGAATGAACAAATGGGTGCTTCACACACTTCACACACAGAAGATGGCTCCTCCCTAGTCCTGAGCTGGTCATGCTGCAGGCAGCTGCCTCTGCAACCCAGTTCTGGACTCTACCTGAAAACAAATGGCCCCAACTCAGGCTGGCACCTTCCCAGCTGTACTAGGCCAGAGAGACATAGGAGAGTCACAGGCCTCAGGCAGAGATCAACAGTGAGGGGGATGCAGGGGTCTCTGCTCTCAGCTGTCACACTGTAGCCCAATTGAGAGGGATCACCTGGGGTCACAGGGCAAGTAGGGTAGCACCAAAGCCCTGTGGTCTGGTGGGCTCTGGTGCAGAGTCCTGAGTCTGCTGCCTGCCGTATCTGTGATTCGAGCAAAAACCTTCACCACCTCAAGCCCCGTGTCTTCATCTAAAAACCAGAGAAATGAACTGAACCTTCTGGCTGGGGTTGTGAGGTCTAACAGGTCTGGCACTTGGTGTCTGCCTCCTGCTGCACACATGGAGGGTGCTTCAGAAGCTGAGGACCAGCCTGTATGTCCACTGGGTTTCCATCTATTTCTCATAGTCATCACATACCAGAAGAGTGGGCCCCTGTGGGGCTGTGGTGACCATTAATGCCCTGGGGAAAGTGTGTCCATGAACAATGTGCCAGCAGAGCACTTCTTAGAGGAAGGTGTTGGCCAAGTGAGAAGAGAAAGGCCAGATGTGGTGGGAATGGTGCTATGCAGCCAGCTGTCTGAGGATCAGGCCTGGGCTAGATTCAAGGTGTAGCACCCCCCCCCCCCCAAGCAGGGTCAATCCTGATGGCCTTGGAGGACAGGGCCCAGGGCCCCATGTGTCTCCAGGAGACCACAACTGTGAGGGAGGCTCCAGGCTGCATCAGTGACCTTCAGGTCCCTGCCTTAAGTGCCCCGGTCTTGTACCAGGTATCCCCAATAGATCCCAAAGTCTGTGGCCTCAGAGGCAGGGTCACACCCAGCCCAGGACTAGGGGATCCTGGGGCCCTCCTAAGAGAAGTGTGCTTCCAGTGAGCTGGGCTCCTGCTGATAATGTCTGGAGCCTCTGCTTGCCCAGATCCAGGCTTTCAGAAGAGGTTGTTCTGCCTGAAGGGAGGTATCCCTGACTGGGAAGGGCAAGGCTCCTCTGGCAGCTGGGAAAGGACAGAGCAGGGTCTCCCAGGGGCTCTGGGCTCAGGTAGGAATGCCCTTCCTCTTTTCTGGCCTGTTTCCTCTTCTCTATGATAGAGATCAAGCTAGAGTGTGACATCCAAGGGTTGGGCCATGTGGACTGCTCAGACAACCTGAGGGTGTATGGGGGGTGCTGTGCCTTCCCAAGTTCTGGGGGAGCTCTCAGGAGTGCTGGGTAAGGGCAGAGCCACCACTGAGGGAACCCCTCACTGACCCTGTGACCTTACTCTTAGGTCACAGACTGAAGCCAGGGCTTCAGCAGCCTGAGGGCCTCCATGAAGCTCTTACTCATTGCCACACAGTTCAGGCTTAGCCAAGGGCCTGGCTCCATCATAGTTTGTGAAGCCCTTGTGGCATCTCCGAATTTCTAGATAAAAGAGCTCTGTGGTGGCAACTTGTTCAGAGTGAGGCCTAGGAAACCTGAAACCATTGCTGCAGGGCAGATTAGGGCTCTGTGATGTGCTCCAGATGCCAGGGACCTCAGAGATGTTGAGTGGGTACAAGAAGCAGTTAGATAGAGTCCTATGCTGTGCCCACCATACCCACACATAACAGGAGGCTGGCATTTACATGTTTTCATAGTTTAGCAGCAAACCAGGCCAACCTTCCCTCTGCCTGAATTATCACATTTTATGCATGTTCCTTAGAGTGTCTTCATTGGGGGTCCTCACAGGGTCTCAGGCCATAGGCCCTGCCTGGGAAGTTGCTGCCCTTCTCACCCAAGGTCAGTTCTCAAGGTAGGCCTGACAGGGAGTGAGGGGCAGGAGCCAGGACTGTACCATTGAAACTCTGGTGGGGGATACGCTGCAAGCTTCACGGGCAACTTCACCAGCTTGTCTCCTGCTGTGGCTTCCAGGATGGGACCCTTGAGCCACTCAACGCTGATGAAGGGCTTTTCTGTCAGATGGGAGGGATCAGTGTAAATCCAGGGGCATCGCTTACCCACCACTGCTCAGGGACTCTCAGCCATGGCCCTGCACCCCCAGAGGACAGACACTTGCAGACTGGGCTCAGTCTGGCTACCAGGGTGTGGAGACCAGGCAAGCCATCCACTCTCAGCCCTCCCTTCCCCTGGGCTGGACTCCAGACTGCTTGGTGTGCTGTGACCTCTGACCCTGGGCCAAAGCTGCACAAGAACCCTTGTTCCCCAGGCTTGATGACCATCTGGGCCCTGCTGGGCACGTTGACCCAACCCAAGACGTACCATGTACAATGACCTCGGTGCTTTCCCGGAACCGCTGGATGCCATTGTTGGCCTCGCATGTGTATGGGCCTAGGTCGTGCTGGCTGATGTTGTGGATGGTCAGGATGCTGGAGAGCTCTGTGTGAGTCTGCTGGGAGCGCCGCTCCGGCACCCACTTTCCCCGCTCAGCCTGCCCGTGCCCAGGGAAGTCCAGGGTCAGAATAGGCAGGCTCTGGCAGAACTGACCACCCAAAGCTCAGCCAGCAGTGGCTCCAGGAGCCTGGAACTCAGACCCAGAGTTGTCCTTGGGTTAGGAAAATCTCCCCATCAGACCAAAGCTCCTGGAGCAGAACTGAGTCTGCACCTCCTCTATACAAAGGCCAGTGTGTGCTAGGCCAGGACAAGTGTGCATAGTGATTGATGGAGACTTCTGACAGTGTGGGCACAGGTTGGATAGTGATGGAGATTCCTGGAGGTGGTTCATGCACAGTCCCTGGCAGAGCTGCTGGCCTTACCTGTTTCCCTGGGTAGTCCCAGCTGAAGGTGACGCCAGAGTTGAACTCGGCCCACACGGTGCAGTTCAGGACCAGCTTCTCCCCGACTAGTAGCTCCATTGACTTCTTGGGGAACAGCTGGATGTCATAGAGCTCGTTGCCTTGTGACAAATGAACAGTGATCCCCAAGCCCCTCACCAGGACAGCACACAGAGTGCGGGGCACAGGGCACTCACCAAGACCAGCTGTGGCACCTACAGCCCCATTACTGAGAATTGGGGGTCTCCGTCTTCCCCCTGCAGTGCTCCTCCTAGGACATGGGAACAGTCACTGAGCCCCGGGCAACCCCTACCTGTGATGTGCACGATGAAAGGGTTGGATAGGAAGGCCTGGCCGCCCCAAGTAGTCTCGCACTGCAGGTACAGGGTGTCACGCAGCAGTGGAGTGGGCACCCGCATGCCCCGGCGGTCATCCCACACCACGTCCTGCCCGTCAGGCCTCAGTACTGAGCTTTGCTGCAGAGACACGATGGCTGTCGGCACCCAGCTGCCCCCTACCTCCTGGCCAGATTGATGGCTGCCTTTCCCAGGGAGAGGACAGGAGGGCTGGATCTGGGGGTTGGGTGGGGGTGGTCTGTACCGAGCGCAGAGTGATGTTGAGGCCTGGGATGGACACCAGGCAGGGCACCCACATGGAGTCCTTCCTGTTGACCAGGAGCGTCCCTGGCTTGTTGATGAATGGCTGCTCCAAGTCTGCAGAGAGAGAGCAGTTTGTGGGAAGGGCAGGTGGACCTTGAGGAGGTCTCTGCCCAGGTGGGGGGCACCAGGGCAGTCCCACGAGATCCATAGGCTCGGGGTGGGGGTGTGTGGGTGCCAGCTGACACCCCCAGGACCCTACCTGCCACTTCATTGGTTGTAAGAATGCATGGGGCTGGGCCCCTCACCTCTTACGAACACATAGGTGCTGGCTGCGGTGGTGCCCTCGATGCGGGCCTTGATGTACTTGTAGTAGCAGCCATAGCTGCCCGTGTCACTGGCATGGGCCTTGGGAAGCAGCAGCACCTTGCAGTAGGGCCTGGCATCCGTGCCTTCACAGTCTCGAATGAACCCCGTGTCTTCACTGTCCTTTTCCTCCATGGCTGGCACTTCCAGAGCCCCTGGCCAGGCCCACTGGAGGGGGTGCTGCCCCCTGGCAGAGGACGCAGAGGTCAAGAGGGGCCCCACTGAAGCCCCAGCGGCCAAGGCTTGCCCACAGCTTGTCTTACCCAGAGGTCAGGACAGCCCAGTAGTGGGGCACATGCCATGGACCTAGCCCACAGTGGGGCACTCTGAGTTCTCTGGGGCCTTTGCCTGGCTTCTCTGCCTCTCTGTGGCAGGCTGGCCTGCAGAGAAGCCCAGGCCTCGGACATAGCTGGGCTGCAGGGAGGATAACATGTCTGGGGCCTATGAAATAGGGTAACTGGCCTGGGCTGAACAGTGGCTGTTGAAATGGGTATAGAGTGACCTGGTGGTGGGCATGGGGTGACCTGTGCCCAGTCTGGGGTGACCCAGGGGTGAGTGCAAAGTGACTGGTCTGTGGTCCATGTGAAATGACCAGGGGTGGCTGTGGGGGAAGTGGGTGCAGGGTGCCTATGTCTGCAGGGTCTGCAAGCTCCCAGACCCAGGCTCCCAGGAGACCTACTAAGCCTCAAGGCTTCTCTGCCTGGGGAGGAGCTGCCTTCTGGGCTCTTCACTACCATCTCCTGCCTTAGTTCTGTAGTCTCCTTTGCCTGACAGATAGGAGGGACCCAGGCCCCTGCTCCTCTGGCAGGGGGCTGAGTACCTGCAGGAGATGGACAGGCTGTCACTGGAGTCAATGACGTGTGTCTCCTCTGTGATGTTCAGGGTTGGGGGGGTCATGGAGTAGCCACTCACCAGACCTGGGGTAGGAGACAGGGTTAGTGTGGTGTTGGGTCATGAGTTCATATGACAACGTCAATCAGGCGCAGACCCCTCCCTAGGGCAGAGACACTGAGCAGCATGGACAAGGCTGCTCCCTGCTCTCGGCTACTAACCAGGCCCCACCCAAGTGTGCCCAGACAGAGACCTGGATTGAGCTCAGACCTCTGGCCCCACATGAGCTGAGCTGCCAGCATGATGTTGACGGGGGATTTTTGCAAACCTCATCCTACAATAGGGGAGGCCAGCAGCATGTCACCTCAGCTTTGTGACCCCCACATATCTGCTTGAAGGCCCCTCTCTTTTAAACTTCATACCCATAGCTACTGCTTGTGAAGGGGTCTTGCACAGTGCAGACTGTCCCCAAACATGCTCAGAACTGAGGGCCTCGGCTTCCCCTGGGACCTCATGCTCTGCCAGGTCCCACAGAGCCTGCTTTGTTTCCTTGGCTTCTACAACTTATGTCCACCCTTCAGGCCCCACTGGCTGCCTCAGCTCCTTCCAACTCTGCCTGCCTTAGCCCCCCATTCTTTCCACAGGGCTTGTACCCAAACACACAAATGACTCCACCTTGCCTAGCTGAAAACCCTCCCAGGACACTGGCCATTGACCCTGCAGTTCCTCACCCACCATCCTCTTACCAGTGTGATGGCATGTGTGTGTGTGCGCGCGTATGTGTGCGTGTGTGTGTAGGTGTGCATCTCTCTGTGTTTGTATGTCTCTATCTGTGGGTATGGATCTGTGTTTTTGTGAGGTTGGTATATATGTAACATGTCTTTGACATGTCGTGTGTGTGTGTGTGTGTGTGTGTGAGAGAGAGAGAGAGAGAGAGAGAGAGAGAGAGAGAGATATCCTGGCAGGGCCCAGGGAGGTCTGGATCTGGAACTCTGGCAGATGTATCCTGCCAGGACCATCCTGAGACAACAGGAAGAGAGGACTGCATGGCCAGAGGCCCACGGCTGTGTCCTGTCCCTCCTCCAAGGTCCCTGTCCTCCTGGGGGCAGAGCCCACTATCTTGCCCCAGTGCCTCCCATCCCAACAGGTCCAGCTTTTCTGCTTTCCCTGACCAGGCTCCCCAAGGCCTGGGGCCCCACCCTAGTTGGTTATACATCACCCTAACCGCCCACACCACAAACCTCCCTAGGAAGAGGCACATGGGTGTTACCCTCCATATACCAAGATCTCATTTGGCACCACATGCACAAGATGACCAGGGCTAGAAAACTCTCACCAAGTATCTAGTCCCACTGTGCAGACAGGGAAACTGAAGCCTGCCAGCAGGAGTGCACTGCCACCCTCAGATGCACTATGACCACTGCAAAGTCCCTCCTTAGCCCGTTCCCTCCAGACACTGAGGTCAGCAGCACTACTTGGGGACCCTAAAGAGGGAAATGGCCTCTGCTCCCAGGAGGCTTCTCCAGGTGGGCTGTGCCACCAGGTCCATTCATCTCCTGGTGGGTGCCTGGCCCTCCATGCACACCAGCCCTCCACATGCACCACCTGGGCTGCTGGAAAGGGGTTACCCCACAGTGGGGAGGCCCTCCTGGGGTTGTGAGGGGCTGAGAAGGAATCCAGGAGGACAGCTCTGACCTGGGCCTCAAAGGACAAATAGGATTGCCCAGGCAGTAGAAAGTGAATAAACTCATACCAGGCAGACAACTGGCCTCCAGGCTATAGAAAAGGGGGCATGATGGGCTTAGACCTGTAGTAGCCCTCCTGATGGCCAGCATGTGGTCACCAGAGTAGAGCCTCAGCAGCCAGCACTCACCTGCACTGGGATTGTGCATTCCCCACAGTGACACCTGCAGTATTGCCCTGGGTATCCCCAAGAGGCTAAGCACCCCCTCTTTGTGGTGCACATCCAGGGCACACACCTGGTACACCTAGCTATAAAGCTGTGGCAGATGTCAGAGATGTCAAAGGCTCCCCCTTGCTTCCAAGATAAAGCAGAGCAAGTCAGGCCTGTCCCTTCTGCCTACTTCCTTCTCTCCAGCTTTATCTCCTGACACATGTCTGAGAGGCATGGACCTCTCACCATCATCCCAAAGTGCCAGGCTTTTCAGATCTGAAAGTCTTTTGCCCAGAATATTTGTTCTCCTTCCCTCCCAAGAAGCTGTCTTGTTCAGGTCTAACTCATGCTTCCTTTCCTAGGGAGAAGTCACTGCTACTCAGACAGTGTCGGCCTCCTTGGGGCTCCTGCTGGATGGATGGATGGAGATGAGTGGGTAAGTGGATGGATGGATGGATGGATGGATGGATGGATGGATGGATGGGAGAGTGGGGGAATGGGTGGATGGGGAAATGGAGCCTGTAGGAGCTTCCTCGCTAGAGACCACCGTACCACCAAAGGAAGCATCTACCTGCTGTATTAAGGCTGTGTAAAAGGAGAACCATCCATCGTGCTTGTCAGCCCTTTTACCCATCCAGGTGAGTCTCTTCTTTGTTGCCATATGCCGACTTGCCCCACTGCCTTCTGTCTTTACTGACTTCCACTGGGACCTGTGTGATCAGCAGACTTTGCTGTAGATGTCACTGTCCTCCTCCATTTTTCCTGCCTTAACTGAAACCTGGCTTTCTGAGGACATCACTGCCCCTGTGGTGCTTATCACTCTCCACTGCACATACCTGACATTGGAGTACTCCTTATGGCCACCTCCCCTTCTCTGAGGGCACCACCTACTCCCCACTAAAGCTGTCATCAGCTGTTGTCTTGGTCACTTCCCCTCATTCTCTGCTCCTGGCCCTCCAGCCCCCTCCACCTCAACTCAGGCCATTCTCCATGACTTCAACATCCACACAAATGACTCACCAGCGCCCTGGCCTTTTTGGTCCTCATCTCTACTGTCCTCCCCCCATTTCCCCTGGGCCCCTCACTTCCTGGGCACACCTTAGACCTGGTCCTCACCAGAAATTGCACCATCACCAAGAGCCTGTCTTCCTGAGCTTCTCTCTTGCCTCTTCTGCATCCTGCTAGGTACCATTGTCCCACAACTGCTAAGTCCTTCAGCTGCATCAAAACCCCGAGGCCAGGGACCCTCCCTGCTGTCACCACCTCCTGGCCCCACCCTTTCCTGGAACAGCATGGCCTATGATCCGTTACTGCCTCTCGCCCTCCACCTCAGCTTTGTGACACCACCGTGCCCCTCAATGGCTCAGCACTTTGGACAAAGATGGAACCCACACTGCAGCCTCCCCTTTCTTTTCCTGTTGGCAGACATTAATTGAGCCCTGGGGCCGGATTCAGGGTGTTTTTCCCACCCCCGACCCTGCCCTCTTGGCATGAATGAAGTGAAGCCATTAGATGGAGATATCTCATCTTTCCACATCCAAACCCTACACCCCAGCCTGGGTCCTAAAATCTTCTGACAGTCCCACTCCCAAGGTCTAGCCCTCCATCATGTCAAGGACCCCAGCCCCCTGTACCTGACTCCTGCAGATAATTTCTTGCTCTTCTGATCATCAATATTTCTCTATGGAATCATTTCCTGTCTTATAAACAAAAGTAAAACCCAATTCCTTGATCCTACATTCCCTTCCATCCACTGCCCCCTACCCATTCCCCTTCAAAGCAAAAGCTCTGCTCACTGTTGCTGTCCTCTTACATTTGCTCATCCTCCCACTGGGGGTACAGCCCCATCCCCTGCTTCATGGCCTCCCGTGACTTCCAGGCTGCAGGATGAGGGGGCGCTCGTGGGCAGGGAGCAGAGCTGTCTCCTCTGCTGCCTTCCATAATCTTTGCTCTCCCCTCACCTTTCTTCCCTTCTTCCTAGCCCCAAGTGCTGTGCTCCTTACTCTCTGTTCTCCACCAGTCTCTCTCCTAAGTGTTCAGATACCTCCAAATTCTCTATCTCCTGCCCAGACAGCTTCTTTCAACTCTAGCTTAAAGGATTCAGCTGCCACTGTATTTGGCCACCCCATAGACATCTGATTTCCACATTTCTGATTCTGAATTCCAGACTCATACCATCTCCAACCCTGCCAAAGGCTCTTCTTTGATAGCTTCCATCTCCCCAGGTGGAAGTAAATGACCGTCTCTCCCAGCCCAGCCTTTCTGTCTACCACCAAAGCATCTCAGAGCCAGATCCTGCTCTCCTCCTGGGGGCTGGGGCCTGCCTACTGTCCTCGGCCCCGAACTTGGCTCCTTGGGCCCGCCCTTGTCCTCCTCAACTCCTATCCTTGTTGTTAGTGATAGTTTAAAAGCATGCTCGTGCTTTCCTGTCAGTGACTTCCCACTAAACCTTCAGGAAAATCCAAACTTCTAACCTTGGGCTGGCCCTACCCCCTCTCCGTACCTCCTTGGTCCATTCTCACCTCCTGTTTACATCCTCCAGCCACCACAGCCTGTAGGCTCTTCTATGCATGCCATGCTTTTTCCAAACCCCAGCCCTCTGCATACACCTCTCCTGATTCGCTTTCTCTCACATGCCCTGCACAGCCGGCTTCTCGCCTTCAGATTACACATGACCTCCTCATCTCAACCGCCTGGTTGTTTACTTCATCTTTCTTATCACAGTTTGTAATGACATTGTTTACTTATTTAAGTTATGTTTTTCTAATTCCTCTACTAAACAGTTAAGTTTCAGGGGGGTGAGGACTAAGACAGCCCTCTTTCCTACACCATACCATGCTTAGCACAGCACCTGGCACAGAGTCAAGCTTCCATAAATTCTTGTATAATGAATAAATGGATGGATGGATGAGTGGAAGGAAGGATGGAAGAAAGGATAGCTAGATGGAATGACAATGGACAGGAAGATGGATAGAAAGATGCATGGACAGACAGAGGCACAGGATGAATGGTGAATGGAAGGATGGAAGGATAGGTGGATGGTTGATTGGCTGGCTAAACAAACTTCTGAGGTCTTCCTTTGGGTTGGAGTTGTGTCAGACCCTGTTATTCCTTTGTAAAAGATGTTCCAGTTTTAAAGATCAGGATCCTGCCTGGCCGGTGTGGCTCAGTGGCTGAACATCGACCCATGCA